TTCTTGTTTAAGCCGTTTAAATTTTTTCCAGTCGAGTATGTGACCTTCTTCTATAGCTTCATTTAACTTCTTAAGGAAAGCTACTTTCTTACTGTTTACAAAATTGCTATGCTTGTTGCGTTGCTTAAAGTATTCTCGTCTGAGGATACTGTTACAGTGCTTACTACCAAGCCGGTTTGCTAGCCTATTTAGGTTCCGCCGCGAGGAGTTGACTTGTGGGTCGGACCATTTCTTACGGGCAGAATTTTTGGGAGGCTTTTTCACTTTTAAGGCTATATCAGCAGCACTGTGGAGACATTTTATGACTGCATCGTTCAGTTCGTGATTGCCCTCCAGAGTACTGCTAAATTCATTTGTCACAATGCTTTCCAGATTGTTGATAATTTCGGGCGAGGTAAGGGCTTTTTTAAATAGTGAATGGGAGGTGTTGCTATCCCACTTATAGCCACAAGGAAAGTTAGAAAAGTCTGGGAGCTGGAGGTTTGCGACAAATGGTTCAAATGTAGTGAGTTTCAAGACTAATGGACAATGATCAGAGTATGATGTAAACTCTTTTACTTGGAGAGAGTTTACATGATCTCTTGCCCATGAGGTGATTACAATGTTAGCAGCACTTTACAACAAGATACATGAGGACAAGAACTGGGAGGTGATCTGGGTGACACATGATCACAACGAGCCTGATGCTGACAAGTACTTCAAGGAGATGCCCTGGATAAGACTACCTTGGGATCAGATAGATACACGAGGGAAGAGCATGTTCAAGCTGACTAAGCAGATTTACATACCGACCATCACCATGATAGATCCTAACTTTAAAGTTATTAACCCTGAAGCTTCGTTGGATATTCAGATTGAGGTGATTACAATGTTAGCAGCACTTTACAACAAGATACATGAGGACAAGAACTGGGAGGTGATCTGGGTGACACATGATCACAACGAGCCTGATGCTGACAAGTACTTCAAGGAGATGCCCTGGATAAGACAACCTTGGGATCAGATAGATACACGAGGGAAGAGCATGTTCAAGCTGACTAAGCAGATTTACATACCGACCATCACCATGATAGATCCTAACTTTAAAGTTATTAACCCTGAAGCTTCGTTGGATATTCAGATTGAACCGGAAGATTTCCCGTGGGCTAAGCGTTGTTTAGTGTAACTGCTGCTCCTTTAGAATACAGTAATTTCTTTTGAAATTGTTTGATATTTTATGAAAAGATCTACATTATTGTGTTTATAATACCAATAAGTTGTGGAAATAACACCTGATATTTTATAACCTAATTGTGAGATACATAATTTTCACTGTCAAAGAAATCTTTGTAAGCTCTCTAGTTATCTGAACAGCAGACTAAATCGTTTATGCCGAAAAGTATTGTAACGAAAACTTGGTCCAACACCAAATGTAAGTTGAGTTTACGTTAGATTTGGCTAATAAAGCCACCGTTAATAAGGAAGGAAGTTTCTGTATAATTAACGTGTAATTACAGCTCAGTAAACGTACGTTTCATTCTCAGGGCTATTAAGTGCTCGTTACATCTCATTATACCGGGTTAACCCTAAATTAACGCTTGTTAGATACACACACATATACACAAACATTTTAACTGATTTATTCTAGTGATCTAACACGATGAGCTAAACAGTACAGCTCAAGTAAGAAGCCATATCGCTGAATAATGAACGAAACTATTTTTTATGAGGCTGAAAATTTAGTGCCAGCTTGCAATTGGAGTAGAAAACAGGTAAATTCGTTGTAAGGCTTACTAAAATGAGAGTGTATGTAGTATAAAGTTTAGTGCACCGTGTTCAAACCTCTGGTACCTGTCAGCATGGTATTTATAATACCATCGGTTTAGAACTTCTCTACACGTATTTAGCTTTTTAGTGTTTCAAAATAGTTGGTTTAGAATTGTGTGACCGTCACACACGATATCACATACCACACCTTTAAAAATATTATACATTCATAAGTTATTTAACTGCAGATATTAAGATGAAAATAAGGAGTCTAAGTGGCCGGTCACTGGCTTGGTGACGTGAAGTGTGGTATTGTAAATGGCCGGTCACTGGCTTGGTGACGTGAAGTGTGGTGTTGTAGATGGCCGGTCACTGGCTTGGTGACGTGAAGTGTGGTGTTGGGGGGGGGGGGGGGGGGGTAATGACTACCAATGTAGTCATTACCCCCCCCCCGTGGTGTTGTAGAGCAATGATTGCTGACAAGACCTGTTGTCACTAAAAAATAAGATCGACTATTATAAGAACCAGACAGTGTTATAATGATTCAAGATAAGGTGTTTTTCTTGCGATGATAGTTTGGTCAAGGAATCTGCGAAAAGTAACATCTAAAAAACCTGACCTTTCTAACATAACACAGAACGTGAGATATATTCTACTGATGGATCACATTACTAATTATACGTCTGGTGGATTCGTGTAGTGTTATTGAGTCTCATTTTGATAGTTCTTTTATTCAAATTTCTGATTGTTATGTTTCTGAATAGACTCAGTGAAGACAAATTCTAATGAAAATAAATAGCTATTGAATTTGAATAAAAGAACTAATTATACGTCACTAATTGGTGACATGATCTGATCTCCGTGAACCCCTAATAATGAGGGCCTGAGGGGGCTTGACCGTCGTGCGGCCAGATCTATAACTGAGAATTTTGAGTTGTACTAGAACCTAATGCCTGGCATAACATAAAACGAGGTAACGCTGTGTTTCTGACATTAACTTAGTTCACTCTCTGTTGAAAACAAAATAAAACCAGAAATAATTAAAATTAGAAGATTATATTTTAAAAATTGAAATGCAATCATAATGACAATCGAAACATAAATACATATAACAATAAAACAAACATAATAGAAATAGCTATTTCTACAGTAAAAGGTTAGCATTAATCAAATGATGACATACCAGACCATGCTGCAGATTAATATTAGTAGTATGCTTAAGAAATCGAAAACTACGGTTCAAGTATTTCAGATTTTAGCAACTTTTACGACCTTATAAATTAAGTAAAGGTAATCTCACTAGACAAACATTCAATGAAAATATGCAGTGAAATCAAACCATGCATCTAGATTCTAGAGTTATCAAAGTTAACGATTTTAAGGGGGCAGGGGGGGGGTCTTTATGAAATTTCTCTCGAAATTGATTTTATAGTTGTTTCTGATAGAGGGGAGTGATATCTACCAGATATTTTTGGTCCCATGGTAAAATTTTGTTCCTAGCCGAAATTATTGCCGGTCAAAGGTCAGCGCTCATGTGTAATTGTATTGCGCGAGCGATTTTCAATCGCGCGCCCTGAAAATCGAGTCTAAAAATCTATCTTCTCCTACATTTTTTGAACAATCACCTTGAAACTTTCAGGATATGTTCTAAGGACCATTAAGAAACTTTTGCTCGTTTTAGAATTTCGAGATAGGCCTTTAAACATTTTTCATTCGATTTTGAAAATCTTGGACCTGAAAAAATCGTCACTCATAAATACTCCGAACTAAGTTAATGTCAGAAACACAGCGTTACCTCGTTTTATGTTATGCCAGGCATTAGGTTCTAGTACAACTCAAAATTCTCAGTTATAGATCTGGCCGCACGACGGTCAAGCCCCCTCAGGCCCTCATTATTAGGGGTTCACGGAGATCAGATCATGTCACCAATTAGTGACGTATAATTAGTTCTTTTATTCAAATTCAATAGCTATTTATTTTCATTAGAATTTGTCTTCACTGAGTCTATTCAGAAACATAACAATCAGAAATTTGAATAAAAGAACTATCAAAATGAGACTCAATAACACTACACGAATCCACCAGACGTATAATTAGTAATGTGATCCATCAGTAGAATATATCTCACGTTCTGTGTTATGTTAGAAAGGTCAGGTTTTTTAGATGTTACTTTTCGCAGATTCCTTGACCAAACTATCATCGCAAGAAAAACACCTTATCTTGAATCATTATAACACTGTCTGGTTCTTATAATAGTCGATAATATTTTTCAGTGACAACAGGTCTTGTCAGCAATCATTGCTCTACAACACCACGGGGGGGGGGGGGGGGGGGGGGGGGGGGTAATGACTACATTGGTAGTCATTACCCCCCCCCCCCCAACACCACACTTCACGTCACCAAGCCAGTGACCGGCCATCTACAACACCACACTTCACGTCACCAAGCCAGTGACCGGCCATTTACAATACCACACTTCACGTCACCAAGCCAGTGACCGGCCACTTAGACACACTCCTAAGTACTCCGAACTGCCTGCTCTTACTGTCGAGTAACAGTCACACTCCTAAATACTCTGAACTGCCTGCTCTTACTGTCGAGTAACAGTCACACTCCTAAATACTCTGAACTGCCTGCTCTTACTGAGGAGTAACAGTCACACTCCTAAATACTCCGAACTGCCTGCTCTTACTGTCGAGTAACAGTCACACTCCTAAATACTCTGAACTGCCTGCTCTTACTGTCGAGTAACAGTCACACTCCTAAATACTCTGAACTGCCTGCTCTTACTGTGGAGTAACAGTCACACTCCTAAGTACTCTGAACTGCCTGCTCTTACTGTGTCTCTATTAGAGACACAGTTTGTTGAGACACTTGTTACTTGTAGAGTTTGTTGAGACAGTAATACATTTGATAACACATGTGTGTGAGTTGTCTGATTCTTACTGTCGAGTAACAGTCACACTCCTAAATACTTTAGTTCAGAGTATTTAGGAGTGTGACTGTTACTCGACAGTAAGAGCAGGCAGTTCAGAGTATTTAGGAGTGTGACTGTTACTCGACAGTAAGAGCAGGCAGTTCAGAGTATTTAGGAGTGTGACTGTTACTCGACAGTAAGAGCAGGCAGTTCAGAGTATTTAGGAGTGTGACTGTTACTCGACAGTAAGAGCAGGCAGTTCAGAGTATTTAGGAGTGTGACTGTTACTCGACAGTAAGAGTAGGCAGTTCAGAGTATTTAGGAGTGTGACTGTTACTCGACAGTAAGAGCAGGCAGTTCAGAGTATTTAGGAGTGTGACTGTTACTCGACAGTAAGAGTAGGCAGTTCAGAGTATTTAGGAGTGTGACTGTTACTCGACAGTAAGAGCAGGCAGTTCAGAGTATTTAGGAGTGTGACTGTTACTCGACAGTAAGAGCAGGCAGTTCAGAGTATTTAGGAGTGTGACTGTTACTCGACAGTAAGAGTAGGCAGTTCAGAGTATTTAGGAGTGTGACTGTTACTCGACAGTAAGAGCAGGCAGTTCGGAGTATTTAGGAGTGTGACTGCTACTCGACAGTAAGAGTAGGCAGTTCAGAGTATTTAGGAGTGTGACTGTTACTCGACAGTAAGAGCAGGCAGTTCAGAGTATTTAGGAGTGTGACTGTTACTCGACAGTAAGAGCAGGCAGTTCGGAGTATTTAGGAGTGTGACTGTTACTCGACAGTAAGAGCAGGCAGTTCGGAGTATTTAGGAGTGTGACTGTTACTCGACAGTAAGAGCAGGCAGTTCAGAGTATTTAGGAGTGTGACTGTTACTCGACAGTAAGAGCAGGCAGTTCAGAGTATTTAGGAGTGTGACTGTTACTCGACAGTAAGAGCAGGCAGTTCAGAGTATTTAGGAGTGTGACTGTTACTCGACAGTAAGAGCAGGCAGTTCGGAGTATTTAGGAGTGTGACTGTTACTCGACAGTAAGAGCAGGCAGTTCGGAGTATTTAGGAGTGTGACTGTTACTCGACAGTAAGAGCAGGCAGTTCAGAGTATTTAGGAGTGTGACTGTTACTCGACAGTAAGAGCAGGCAGTTCAGAGTATTTAGGAGTGTGACTGTTACTCGACAGTAAGAGTAGGCAGTTCGGAGTATTTAGGAGTGTGACTGTTACTCGACAGTAAGAGCAGGCAGTTCAGAGTATTTAGGAGTGTGACTGTACGACATCCTAACCCTGTTAAGAACTGAGAGGATAAAAGGAAGAGTGGCAACTCCAGCAACTCCGTACGTGTCCAAATCTATTCCGCCCACCTCGCACCCAACCACTGAAATATACACAGTGTTAGTCTATAATTATAAGCGACCAGCATAGTATTTTAGAACCAGAAATGTAAAGTAAGATAATGTTAATAAATGGAATGTCCAACAGTAAAGATCAGTAATCCTCGTAGATATGTGTTTAGTTGGTAAATGTAAAGAGTTTACTCACAAATTCCGACGACGATGACAATACCTAGACCCAGGACAAGAAAGTCTGCCCAGTTCAACCTCCAACAGTTAAAACATTTACTGTACGTCTCCCCAACGTCGATACCTGGGGAGGTTAATTAATTAATTACATGATAATTAATTAATTAGCTAATTAATTGAAGAGTATAACTGAGTAATTGTGTGCATATTCCAAGTCAATCTATTCCATTTAATCAATACGCCATAATTGGCGAAAACCCCAAAATATTTGTTACGAATCGTGCATAACAAAGAATAATTATCTAAAATTGAATTCATTGAATTATTACCGATTCCTTTACAGATAGCATCCCGTTGTTTGTCAGTGTATTTACCATCATTTATAAACTCTCTTATTGTGTAGTCTTTCCTGAGAGGTACTTCAAATTGAGGACAAATTGAGGACAAATTGAGGCAGGGATCGACCGGGGACGAAATTTAGCCGGGGCCGGGGCCGGGACCAAGTTGAATCAGCCGGGGCCGGGATTAACCGGGATTTTGAAATGTTGCCAAAGCCGGGGCCGGGATTGGCTAGAAAATATGCCGGGGCTGGGGCCAGGGCAGGGATTTTTTTAATCTAATTTTTTAAATCTAATTTTAATCTAATCAACATTAATATTTTACATTCTTTGTAAATTCAAAGTTGAAATTTTCTGAATATCAAACTGGAATGATGTCAAGTCCTCGTATTTATATTTTTCACTCGATCTCATGTTACCGAAAATTTTGTGTTTAATTTAAGTCTAAAAATCAAGATAAATTCTGATAATCTATCGGTTTAAATTGAGGCAGAAAATACGAGAAATCCCGGCAAAAATTGACAAAAACAGCCGGGGCCGGGGCCGGGATTGGGGGCCTCTGGCCGGGGCCGGGATTTTGAAAATTATTTTGACGGGGCCGGGGCCGGGGAAAAAACACAAATCCCGGTCGATCACTGAATTGAGGACAAGTTAATTAATAATTATTTGATATTAAGAAGCGACGATCAAGTCTGAATTATTACAATTATATTCTTAATTTCCTCCGTAAATCAGTTTCGAAATTTCTTCTCCCTGCACAAAAAGGGACTTTCCTAAATAAAATCTGTATTTTGTACAGAGTAAAATATGTAAAACATCTATTTTATGCAGTAAGTTGACCCATAGAGCCATAGGTTGTGTTCCCCAGGGAGTTGAAGGAGTAATTAGAGAAGAAAAAAGAGAGGGGTAAAAAGTGACAAGTTATAGGGCATTGTCAACTGGCAGTGCTACATAGGGCTTCTTTGGGTTGTTAACAAGGTTAGGAGCTTAATTATTGGTGATATTATAATAGTATATTAGGATAACCTGCTGAACTACTGTTTATTGCCAAAAATATTGTTGGACGTTAGAGCGTAGGATATAAATCAAGTCTTGAAAGAAAGTTACATTTTCTCAGTATAGTGTGCCATGTCGAGTGATTAATTAAATATCTGAAGTTTCTGAAATAATCTGACTTGATTTGTTTGAGGAAGTGACCTCATCACAGATAATTTTATAACCACTGAAAACCAAGAATGTTGAATAAAATGCTGAATATGTTAAATAACTCACTTTGTTAAGATAAGTCTGTGAAGAAGTTTCTTGGGATTCCTCTCTCCGGCATTTTCTCGTAACATTTCACAGCTCTGGTCTAGTTCACCAAAATACCTGCAATTGTCAGCTTGAGATTTAAAACTGGGAACTGTTTCACGATATAACATATTTTGTAGGTTTAAAAGTAAGAATTAATTAATTAACCAAGTACACGATAATCTTTGGTGACCATTTCGGATGTTTAAAAGCTACGTCAATTTCAATATCATTATACATTACATATTATACAGTACACTAATCTCGCTGGGTATTGCATACTCTGTTCTGCCAATCTTAATTCTCTAACTTTTACTTAGTATGCACTCCCATATAAGTGATCTGACTCGGGTACGAGTCGAACTATTGTACGTGTACCAGTAATAAGTATATAATAGTGTATATAAGTATATAATAGTGCTGATGGAGGAGCCGCTGATGGACGAGCCGCTGTTGCAAAGGAAATCTTAGGAAATAGTTAACATCATTACATTAACTAATTAGCACACACACTGCCCTCATGGGCTACTAATAACAATACGACTAGGACAATTGACTAATGTACTACAAGGTACCAAAGTAAGATTGGAGCACATTCCTTGTACAGCTAGTAAAAGTCAACCAGTTCTTAAATTTCTATCTCTACATTAATTTCTACAACAATTTAAAACCATTTGAAATCCATTCCCTCTCAAATAGTTACGCTAGTCTCTTATACAGAAACATAATGTCCAATTTCATGTAACTTCCGAATTACATATTTTACATGAATGTAATGGTCCATACGTTCGCAACCTCAAACTACAAAGCTATGTACAATGTACAATGTACAATGTACATTATATAATAACATCAACTATGTATTATATATACATAATAACTTCAACAGCTATTAATTTTAATTCGATGTCAGATCCCCAAACTGAGTTAGACACACATCAATAGCACTCCATGTCCAGTAGCATCTAGATGTAGCTTTCATCGGCTACCAACGAGAACAAACATTGTACACTGATAGGTTAGTTAGAACTTTTTATACTTTCAACAAGGTTTACAAGATGTCAGGAGAGTGACATAGCAATTTTTGTATTCAGAGTGAATCTTAACGAACCTGGCAGAGAAAATCGTACTTTCTATGTAAGTAGGTGTTTTGGTGCACTGCTCATAATATTTAAATCACACCGATCATACATTTGTAGGCAAGAAATAAAATGGCATAAGAGTGCACGGTTCCAGCATCACGTAGCCACCCAGCGGTTACACTGGACAGTGGTTAGACCAAGTGGTTAGACCAAGTGGTTAGACCAAGTGGTTAGACCAAGTGGTTAGACCAAGTAGTTAGACCAAGTGGTTAGACCAAGTAGTTAGACCAAGTGGTTAGACCAAGTAGTTAGACCAAGTTGTTAGACCAAGTGGTTAGACCAAGTGGTTAGACCAAGTGGTTAGACCAAATCATCCAAGTGGTTACACCAAATCATCCAAGTGGTTACACCAAGAAATAAAATGGCGTAAGAGTGCACGGTTCCAGCATCACGTAGCCACCCAGCGGTTACACTGGACAGTGGTTAGACCAAGTGGTTAGACCAAGTGGTTAGACCAAGTGGTTAGACCAAGTAGTTAGACCAAGTGGTTAGACCAAGTAGTTAGACCAAGTGGTTAGACCAAGTAGTTAGACCAAGTGGTTAGACCAAGTTGTTAGACCAAGTTGTTAGACCAAGTGGTTAGACCAAGTGGTTAGACCAAGTGGTACGGGTAGCTTGATTTCCCCCTTCCAGAATGTAGCAGCTAAATCTGACAAATTACACCTACGTAAGTGATACCCCCCTTCCAGGGTCTCCTTCTCTGGTGCCATGAACTGAGCTGACTCTAAATCTGTAAGTAACAAAGAGTTAATTTTATTTAAATTTCTTCTTTGTTTACCAGTTAAAAGCAGGCATTGCTTACTAAACAGTTCCTTAGGATCTGAAGATAAGAAGATAAAAACCCAGCAAGGAGAAAGGGAGAGTCAACTAAATATGGTGCACTAGAATAATTTCAATACTAACCAGCTAACTCGATATCGTTAGATTTCACAGTCTCATTTACTTCCAGAATCTCCATATCAAGCTTTTTCAGATCTATTTGTACCTGTCCGAGAATACGTATTGAGTAAAATACATTTTGTTAAATTAAAAAATTCAGTCCAGCTAAAATATCATGCGGATTCATAATACAAGCACAGGGTACAGTAACTTAGAAAAGCTTATATCAACCTGTATACCCTGTATAGTGTATATATATACAATATATATATAATGTGTAAATTATAAATTTTATAAAAAATACCTCACGGCTGCGCAACAGACTAGAGAAATACTGCCGAATTTCCTTGGTAATTATCTGATCTGATTCACTACAAATCTCCACTCTAACAAAGTCGAATCCCTCCTGAGTATTAACGTGGAAAGCCAGGAGCAAATCTGGAGACACGATCAGTAGCTTGCCATCTCGGGGAATAAGCATAAATCTGGAGATAAGAAGGGAGCAGATAAGAGGTGTTGCGAATCTTGATACATTCAGCGTTTCGTGGTACATCACCCTGAATTCAACATGATTGGCAGAAGATTCATTGACATTAGTGTTCCATGAGGAGCTAATACGTTTACTGAAATCTTTGGTTCCCGACTCCGTGTAAAATGGGTCGAGTAGTTTGAAACTTACTAGTGCTTCTTTCATTTCAATCTCAGAGACGTCTAGAGACATATTATAAAAGTTCTTAGAAAAGAAGCCATTGCACTTGCTGACAAAGAAATACCCTGATTTACCAAGATGATTCTCCAAATCTTCTCTAAATCTTTCGTCGAATAGTTTTAACTCTTGCTCAGGACAATAATTCAGGAGGTCAGTGCTCGGTGGGGATATTTGGAGCTGTTTAGCATCTCCTCTCTTGAGATTAAAGATGTCTGGCACACTCTTCTCGTGACTTGCTTCAACACCAAGGAGTTTAGATAGCAGGTCCAGCAGTGCGGGGTCTTTTGCATCTTGAACAACATACAACTGTTTGTTTACAAGGTTTTTGAAGTTATTTAGGTGTTCAATACTGAGCATCTCATACGGAAGACTGTGACAAAATACAACAGTTTCGTTGTCATTTTGTTTTTGTCCGGTTTCAGGCAAAAGTGGTGTTGCTGCTGAATGAGCAACAAGAATGTTGAACAATACAGGGTCCTTTTTACTCTGGGAAGAAAGTTGTTTGCCTTGGGGAGCTTGAGTTTTTTCAGATTTTGTAAGTCCAATCTTTATTTCACGTACAAACTCCTTGTTTTCTTCGGTTGGATCTAGATAAATTGAAATTATGGTTTTACAACTAAATCTTCAATGGTTTTCATGAGAGTGAATTTGTAAATTAAAATAGTGTCAAAATCCATATTTATTACAGCTGTTGCTGTTAGTATTTAACTTACGAGAGATTCCAAGGTCCTCTAGGATGAAATTCAATTCTGCTGCATTCCAATGTTTCTCAAACGCTAAATACTGAAAGAAAAGGGAGATCATAGTTTTAGCAGACAAAAACTAAAGTATATTTATCAGCCCAGGCCAAGGATTTTGGAGCTCAAGTACCGGTGCGGTCAAGGTCAGGAATTATGACATTCTGGTGATGTGGAAATACATGATCCATTTTAAAACTTCTAAGTTCCTATTAACAAAGTATCCCTATGTTCCTGAATGAATGTAGAAAAGCACTAACATTCATCATCTTCTCAACTTGAATTTTATCAATGCATGCTCTGCGCTGTCTAAGAAATTTGAACTGCTCCTCCTTTTTGTACAAGATAGTGTAGTCCAAAGCTGTGAAGCCAAACACATCTTTTTATTTATGTAGTCGACATCATCTCCCTGGGATGTTTTATTACCGTCACTAATAATAGCAGAATATTTTTGAATCGATTACAATAAACATTCTAAATCGAAATCTCTAAAAGTCACATCTTTAAGCTCTTATTATACACATTAAAGTGGTTTATTACATAGTAAGTCATGCTACAAACCTCTGTTTGGCAAGAAAGTGCTTTCTCCAGTAAGGAAGCCTGCCCATTATAACGCACAATTTTGTGGAGAGGTGTTTTCCCATTGACATCGCTGCTTAGAGGAAAACCAACATCCAGCAATTTATTGACATACTTCTTCTTTTTCTCGATAGCATAATGTAGTAAATCTACCGTTGGAGAGGCAAGCTTAACTTTGTCAAAACCTTTTTCTGAAGAATCGAAATAATCTTTGAAGAGCTCGAAAAATTTTGGTTCTGGATCTTTGACTAAAGCAAGTGGGTACAAGTTTGAACTATCGGTTGCTCTAAACAGAGCTTTAACCAGATATTTTTCCTGATCGAGTAGATCCTGCAGCAAATCATATTTCTCGTACTTACAAAAATAATGAGCAATATTACATCCGTAGCTGTCTTTAATATCTATCAATTGAGATTCTTTGTTATTCAAATATTTTACCAATATTTCATAAAATTTGTCTCCGTTTCTTTTAGGTTTGGGTTTCAGACACGCCAACAGAACATCTGTTGAGCAAATAATCGTTTCAATTTTGTTTTCATTACAATGTTCTACTGTCCGGCGAAACTTTTTCATATCATCACTTTTTATGGCCTCCTTGATGTGGATTTCACCAACTGATTCTGCCCCAAAATCTAAAATACAGACAAGGTTATCCCACACTGTCTCAGATGATGATTGCAGGGTTTTTATGATAACAGAACTCATATCACCTGGAACTGGATAGCTTGTATCTTGGCATAATAATTCGATGATATCTTTTATACCAGGTCGTTTATCTGGATTTTCCAAATAATCTTCAAGATTTGTCAACAGTTCGCTTTTACCCAAAGAATTAGCAGGCCAATTCTTTGCTTCAGTACCAAAATCTTGCTTAGCATACCATTTTAAAAGAATTTTCACGGTTGAAACCTTTTGAACATGGTGCAAAGCCGTTTCTCCCTTGTTGTTCTGAGCAAGCACATTGCACTTGCCTAATAACTCTTCAAAACATGTCTCAACACCATGTCTAGCAAAATGATGAAGAAGTGTGTTGCCCAATTTGTCCGTTAAATTGAAATCTGTACATTTCAAGATTGTCTGAATAGTTGAAACATTTAACAAATCTAAATATTGACTTATCACTCCAATCATCATTGCTGTCTGCCCAAAATCATTTTGAATATTAACATCAACAGGTGGATCTTTACCTAATAACCTAATGATGTCATCTTCATTGTCGACCGGATCTTTCATCAGATCATGAAGTCGTGTGTTTTTATTGACTGGATTCCCATCATTTGTCATGATATTTGAGGTATATTATGGACAGTGTTGATTAAAAATGTCTCATTAGAACAAGCTGAGAAGCTTATCTTTTTTCAGTTCATTCACCTATTAATAAAAGTTTATAAATATATACAGATTTATCAATAAAGAAACAAGGTGGTAAAAATCTATGGCTGTTGCGCAACTGTTTAGGCTAGATCCCAATACATTAATCCATGTATTACTTAATTTTAGCTACATTAAATTAATTTTAACTACATGTATGTATAAGTGTGAACTCATTTATCATGCAGGTCTTCAAAAATACAATGTGGATTATTATATTTTGTATGAGAAAAAAGATTTTATGTTTGCTTTTAATTTCTTTCAGATTGTACATGTATTCATTATAGATTCAATGGCAGATAATATTGTCATATCATTACTATAATTCAAAGAATTATTTCTGCTGTACGACCGCCCACGTGCAAATTAGGTAAACAAATAAAAGTTGCATAATAACCATGATAACGGTGTTCAAAAGCGCACTTACGTGTACGTGCAAATATTTGCGACATTTTGATGGGTTTTGTGGTGATAACATTGTGTTCAGTGCGAGCTACATTTTAATCAGCTGTATCTTCGGTTGTGACTGATATTTTTGATGCGATAAAAACTGACTACCAAAGAATACTATTAGCTGTGACCACGGGCTTTCTAGTTTTGTAACATAAAATGAACATAAAATGAACATAAACAACTCAAATTACCTATTTTTAAAATTAAATACTTTTCAAATTTTACAGAGTACAGCAATAGATGAATATAAAATAGAATCGTTCAAAATATCGCCCACATCTGTAAAATATGATGGGCACCCAAACAAGGTAAACACATAGTGAACTATGTCCGCAGTAACTTGGACCCATTAAATCGAATTAATCTAAATCCAAAAGTTTATGAAAAACTATTTAATAACAAACAAATCCATGGTGAATAACTGTGGATATAGAGCCAAAATTGGTATTTCAATACGTCAAATTCCAGATACATTAGATACAGGTCTGATATGGTCATTAATGTGTGAGAAGGTGTGCGGGTGAAGTGTGATATGATGTTGAAAGTATAGGAAGGTAGATACAAAATTAATTAAACAAAAAATAATAATATGGGGAGCAAAGAGACTAGGCTAGACCGTTCTATTCACTATCCAATAAACATTTCCATAGATGCTTAGTGACCTCAGCTTCGAAAAGACTAGTAGACATAATCTGTCTTACCTGTAAAGGGAGTCCACATATGGTGTGTGAATTCTGACTTAACTTAGGTTAAATTGATGACAAAATAGACAGACTGTCGAGGTGGCAACGTCTTAGTCGAGAAGTGCCCTGATATAAAGAGAGATAGTGAGGCAGCGTTGTCATACGTTGTATGACCCGCCACGCACGAAGTGCGCGGCTCCCCCTGTATCGTCAGGACGATAAAGTGAAACGACCGTGGGTGTCACAACGTGATACAAAGGCAGCGATACAGGAATTAAATTGTTCAGAAGTTTGTGGAAAAAAATAAGATCATTCAAGTCAAACTTTTGAGACAAAGGGAGAATGTCGACAAGCTTGCACTTTTTGACATATTGCTCAGGTGGATAACTGCGGCCCTCTTCAGACAGAATGCATTTAATAGCTCTCTTTTGGAGACTTTCTAATTTATCACTAAGTGATTTATTACAAGGGCGCCAGATTATATATCAATTATTTAATGGACCTAATACTATTTATGATAATTAAATGTCTGTTCTCTTCAATCCTTTGAAATTATACCATATTTTGACTTAATTCAAATAGACTTGATGTTTCGATTTAATTCCATCGTCATATTAATCTGCACTAATGATCGAACTGAAAAGTCCGTTTTTATTAGATATGGCTAAAAGATATATAACACACATAACGTACACAGGGAGACTAAAGTGCAAAAAACTGCTACTAACTGCTGCCAACTGCTGCTGACTGCTGCTAACTGCTGCTGTCGCGCGCGCCATTTGCAGCAGTTAGCGGCAGTTAGTAGAAACAAAATTTTAAAAGTAAAACAAAATTTTTATTTACCACAAATAAAGCCCGTAAGAGCCTCTACTAAAAACAATCAATACTTATTTAATATTATTATACATTTATAAATAAATATAAATCTAAATTCAGCTATGTACTCAATACACAGCCCGCCGCGCAGACAGCCACACTGCACACATTGCTGAGAGATTCTCAGGTGCAGATGTAAGCGCCGCGCGCCCGAGGTTTGTTATCTTACAATTACATGTCACGATATATTATTAATCAATAAATGTTTTTGCCATGAAATGGACCAAACTGATCCTAACTCATATTTCACTCATCATAGCATATTGCTTCAGCATGTACAAACGGCATAACCTCAATCAGTTTAATGTAGTGAAATGACTGGTGTAGATGAAGTAGTGTACTAATACAAGTTGGAGAGGATCAGGTAAGCTTAGTCAGCATCCATGATGTTACAAACCCTCTGGGACATTACTGCGCCCAGTCTCCAAAGTTACAGTAAATTCCTACTACGGACAAACAAACACAGACAAAACACCAACAAGAAACTAATATACACTAGCTAGCTCAGAGAGGAAATGAGTACCGGCTCAGGAGGTATGTCAAAACAGGGCGCCCTTTTGAACACTACTCGGGCTAGAATCAGTGCAATTCGGACACTACTATGCAACTGAACCATGCAAAACTATATAAGTGCACCTATGCTGGCAAGGCAATAGGTCAGACTGCCAGTCCTGAAAACCAGTTCTATGATAAGGGTCACGCAAGCCCCGAAGGGTTAATACAAAATCAATAAATGTTTTTGCCATGAAACGGACCAAACTGATCCTAAGTCATATTCCACTCCATATTATTAATTATCAGAGAATTTTAGAAGCAAAATAATCATTGCATATTGGGAAAATTTCGGTCGTTAACGCAATACAGGGCGTGGACACTGCAATACTAATAACGGAAAATTCTGTGGCACTAGTTTCATTCAGCTACCCAATTTATATGTGACATGTACAATGTAATTGTATTAAATTCAGATAAATGTCAGTAATAATCGACGTTATAACATTTTGCAATTTACAATTGCACTTAAATCACATCTAGCAAGTTACTAATTCTTTGCATTATATATGTGACATGTACAATGTAATTGTATTAAATTCAGATAAATGTTAGTAATAATCGACGTTATAACATTTTGCAATTTACAATTGCACTTAAATCACATCTAGCAAGTTACTAATTCGTTGCATTATATATGTTACGTCACTATAGCATATGTCATTCATATTGTACGTTATATAAGATAAAAATAAACATTTTATAATTGTTTCAATGTTCAACACTGCTAAAAAACAAATACCTACTTGCCCATCGATTAAGCAGTCGCCAAAACAAGGCTCAAAGTTAATTTACCTTCATACCTTGTTTTGGAGACTGAAGGATGTCAATAAATAAATAATGGACAATATTAATACTGAATATGATGGATAATCAGTAATATCAATAAAATCTCTAGTACTGTAACAGTTAAGCACATGTAATTACCATTAAAGAATAGAAACGAGTATGCTTGTCCACCTAGAACAATCCACAACCTTAAAACTAACAGTCAGTGCACTAGCTTAACCAAGGTGCAGCTGAAAATAGTTTTTCCGTACTGATCTGTGGAGATAAGATCTTTGAATTGACCTTCCCCTTTGTGATGCTATTTCATAAGGCAGGCTTACCCTTTACAATGCCTTTGTAGGCATGTATCGAAAATGAAGAGAAGCACAACATGAGGCTTGAAATCTTTTAATCTCAATAATGACACTGCACCTTAGCTTTGTGGCCAGTCTCTATATATTCAGTTGATTATCAGGTCTCTCTCTCTCGGTTTCGGTCAACAGATGCTGGCCTACTGCGGTAGGCCAGTGTGCTACGTTGGTAGCTGACTCTGTGATATTCCTGTGATCATTTAATGACACAGAATCCTACTCCTGTGATACAACTAACTTTCGTGGATATTAAGTAAAACAAAATTTTATTGCCATATTACAATGAATAATAATATCATAATAAACATAGTTAAACTTGAACATCCAATAATAAACTCATGAAAATTAGATATGCTATGTAAAATACTCTTTTTACTATATATTAACGGGTGATACTCGTAAAATATTTGTTTCAACTCGGCGCGCGTCTTGGTAGGTTATAAACGTACAAACTGTATACTACTATTAGCTTATTAGGTTTTTGTGTTAATTTGTATTAATTTGAGTGTTAACGTATTTGGGATTTATTTTTCTAAAGTAAAGTAAAGTAAAATGTATGACATCACATCATTACACATGTCTACAAAATATCATCCCACTATGTGAAAAAGTATATAATAAATATTTCCCCACCAACATTAATTATTCATCAAATAATTAATGTTGGTGGGGAAATATTGGTGGTTAATCAAGTGCTGGAGCTGGCTACACATGTCTATGCCGGGAGCTGGATTGCATGAGATGCAGAAGCTCTGAATTGCAGAATAAGATTTTGCATCAAGAAGATTCCCAAGCAAACTGTACAAGCCGCTTTAGTGGCTGTAAGAAAGAGATTACTCTGTGCCTACCGCAAGAGGCTTCTGAGTGCTTGCCATAGGCAATTTTTGTTCAAAATTGTCCAAATTTTAACACTGTTTCATTGATTTTGACCACAAACGAATTGATCGACCTGATAAAAGGATTTGAAAAAAGCTCAATTTTTTTGTCATCACCCGTTAATCATTAATCTAATCTCTACCATATTCTTAAATTTCATTTCTGTTTACAGCTAATAAGATGAAATGAGCACTGATGTACATTCAGGGTGGAAAATCCCTTGGCAAGCCCAGTATTAACAGTAATGTTTCCAGTCCCTTAGTTCTGCAACCATTGAGGAGAAGAAAGAGCTATGCCACTGATCTCACCATCAAGAAACAGAGGTCTTTTAAGCAATCGCTTTTAGAAGTTGAAGAACCAAGGTAAAAAACATCAAGTTAAGTTTTGTTGCAGATGAAAGGTCAATTGAGAATATACTATGTATCTAGCTAAATATGACCTTATTTTAGTCTCTTTAAACAAAGGTATAATTAACACGATTAATGCTTGCTTTTTCTTAATTATAGAATGCAAGAGTGATTTGTACCACATTAAACCAAACATCTTGAAAAAGTTGTTTGAACAAATTTTGCAACCCAACTGTCTTTATTTAAAAAAGCAAAATATAACAGCTGGTATTCAAATTTTAATTATAGGCTCTCTTATTTATAAGTCCCCTGGCTTCTCATTATTAATTTTCCCTTAGTTTTTTTCACGTCATAGTCCTTTTTCTTTCTCTCTCTTCCTTTACTCGAAATCGATCAAATTGTCAACAGAAGCTTTAAAAAACCCCCATCTCTGATTAATCACGATAATTAGAATTTCAATTCAAAGAATTTTCAGACAAACTCTCTCCGAGACGAACCTAGTATCCGCATCTTTGAACAGGGAGTTGACGTCCACATTGCTACAGAATGATACTATCAATCAGAATGGCAGACAGATACTATCTCCCATCTTACCACCCTACCTCAAGGATAACCTCGGCATAAGGTTTGTTGTTTAAATCTTGTTTCTGTTTGTGAGGAGGTGATGCACTGTTGTGACACGTGACATGTTATCATGAAACGTGGGCAACTTTTATGGGGCAATCATTTATTTGTCCTCTTTTAATATAAATAGTGAGTGACTATGTGCATCGCCTCCTTCGTAATAGCAACATGTATTGGTATATAAGAATAATATACCAGTGCAAATATCAGTGGTCTCTAAGAGTATCTGTATGTGACTTTTTGTTCATCCATCAAACTATGTTCGATGCCTAGCACAGGTGCAGTTTGCAACTTAACTGGTACGAATACTTACGGAATCATTGGTTGTGTCCTTAGCCATTTTCTAGAAATTGTTTAGTTCGAGGATATTTCCGTGGATTAAATTTAGTTATCAGCTGAAATTGAATGACAGAAAGCATAGTATTAAAAGTGATTAACAGTTCAGCGTATCCCAAACAATTAAAGTAACACATGCTGCCCTGATTAACTCGATTAAAGGGACCTCTGTCCTCCCGGTTCACTTTCAACAAACCTGTGTTTTGCAGTGTTCTCACTATTTGACCAATCAGAGAGCTGTATTCTAGCCACGTGACAAAAACTAACCACTCTTAGTCTAAGACTAAACAAATCCACTCATTGGTAGACTTTGTCTCAGTTTGGCAATTTATCGGTCTGACCCGAACCGTAACAAACGTATTCAATCAGCACTGCCATCTGCCTCCCGTCACTTAGTAACGGGTCTCTTTTAACGGGTATAATTTAACCTACATGTGAGCATGCGGCCCCCACAACAAGTGCCACATATATATGCTCGATAACACTTATTTGATTATCTGCTGACGTCACAGGGGTACTATATAGGCCCCCCTGTTGGGAGGTAGGGTTAAATTACCACTTATTGTTTTGATATAGTTCAAATTTATAGAACTCCGTTAAGTACTACAACGTTAACTTGAAAATGTCACGTAAATTAGTGTTAATGGAATGCCTAATATGTCTGCTTGGTTGGTTGGCGTGTCGGTTAATTGTTGTGTGTAAATATGGCCCCCTGTACTGGTCAAGTTATGTCAGGAATCTTTGAAGTTTTAAGCGTTGCGTAACATGTATTGAATTCTTTGTTTAACGTAATAACCGTTACTTCTGACACTCTGACAGCTGGTTTGGCATTGTAGATTTATGCAGGTGCTAAATCGGAAGATGGTAATTAAATATTCGTTATCCTGGTTTCATACTGTGAACTTGTGAATGTTAGATAAGGTTTGATACTTGTACTTGATAATTTCTCTGATATCATGTTTCTAATTCCAGCCAACTTCCTTTCTTTATCCGCATAGCCATAGCTTCTAAGTATTCGGGTGGTATTTTTAGACGCGCATTTAAAATTCTTTATTCTTGAGTAAAATCATGAGTTTTATCAGTTTTGTACCAGCCAACAGATTGCTCATATTTGACTTCTGTACTTGCTTGTTTCACGTGAGGTTGGTACCAAGTATGTGATAAAGTTATAGGCTATCACATAAAGATAGAGATAAGCCTACTCTTGGGTTCACATGATTGTATTTGTTGTGAACTGTTTTTAAAGCTTATTGAACCCAAGCACATACCGCTAGTTAATGAACGAAATACGAAGGATCCATAGTCGGTATAGACCATTTTAGAACCCATATCTAAATATAACTCTTTATGGTAAGATTTAATAATTGATAGGATCTCTATGTTTCAGTCTGAGTGACTGAACTGTATATCTTGTTGTAGTCTAATTTGAAGAACTACATATTATCTTGTTTAATGACATAACAATTAACCATGTTATTAGGGGTCATTTAGTGGTACTTTGTTGACGTTCACTGACTGTGTCTGCAGTTAAACTGTTAAATACTCACTCTAATCCTCTTCATTTATTTACTAGTTTTATTTACTTCTAAGGCAAAGAAAACGGCCAAACCAAAGATTTTTTGCCATTGAGATATCTACTTTCAATGGCTATCTACTGGTTTTTCAGCTAGATAATAACCGGTAAGTATTGTGTCAGTGTTAAACATAAACAATGCCAGATCATATAACTTTCGGGAGTCGTTATTATATTGACAGTGCAGGTTGTTTCGTTGAGATTTTTAACCTTGATACATCTTGTCCTGTTTTTATTAATTGTCAAATTTGGTACTTGAACAAAATAACTTTTTAAATTCAGGTTATAATGCCTCTCTTCTGATATACTCTGCTTAAGTTCTTCGGTTGTCCTAGGGACTGGGTTAGTCTAGACCTTACTATTGAGATTTTGACCTAGTGTTCTTTACCAGGGTACAATTAGTTTCCAACTTCTTTAGTTTTTCCAGGACATTTAATTGTCCTATCATCAAGTTTACTGAATTTATTGTCCTTCTTCTGTAACAGACGCCTCGCACTTGTCGTACTGCTGGCCGCTGAACCACAAATCCAATACGTGATTTACAATATCGAATTTTCTTTCTTTAGTGAACCCCATTTTTTTCAAAATTCGACTTTTTGGAAGCCACCGGCTATTTAACGGCTATAAAATTGCTATTGATTCGTTAATCGTTAGTTGTAATCTGCAATATGTTTGGTTAAGTTACATTGACTTTGAAGAAAACTACTGAAATCTAAATGTCTAAGTTGGTAAAATTGTCTTTATTTCATCTGTCAATAGTTGGAACAACAACAACAACAAGCGGGACTATAATCGGAAAGTTTACAATTATCAAGTCATTTATCTTGTCTAAGTTTACATAAATACATATATCTTATCCAGCCCTGCCCCTTAGTTACCCCTGGTGACAGTACTAGACATTATGATCTTTTACTTTTTATGGGGTTGTAAGTTCAGAGATAAAATTAATGTTGTCAACTTACCTCTCGAGCCTACATATCTTTACCCTAAATTTTATGTGAATCTTGTTTCCGATATCGTAGTTCACCAACAAACTAGGACTCCCGCCCACCGGTGCTCGCGGTGTAGCTATGCCCATATTTTGTCCATTTTTGGTCCAATCATGCCAAATCACCTCAACATGACCAAAACCCAGATTTGTTTTTATCTTACTTCATTATAGCTAGTGTTCTCCTGAACTTGTATACAAGTGTTTATCAGAATTAGACAACAAAACAAATTCATTAAGTAATTAGTTCTTTTTTCTTTTTATGTAGGATTTAGTTACTCATCCTGTCTCTCAAACCAAGTCTTAATCCAAGTAAGTTACAATGATCGAAGATAGTTTCAGGAAAGTTCAAACGAGGTCAGATTAGTTCAAATAAGTTCACTCCAGTTCAGGTCAATTCAGGTACGCGTTCAAATAAGTTCAACTCGAGATAACTTAAGATGGCACCAGGTTATCCTAAAGAAAAGTAATATAGGTAATAAGTATAACTTATTTTATATTTAATAAGAACAGTTACACTTAGTACACACCCAAGTGAGACAGGTACATACGTCAAATACAATGTAACGGTTGATTGATTAAAAGTACATATATATTCTTTCAAACCTGCATATCCAACATGCAATAACCATTAGTTCTTATTGTGAACTAAACATTGAAAATCGTGCTTATCCACCAGTCATGGTCAAGGAGAAAAAGGGATAGCCAATCAAGATTGGGGAGGGAGTCACGGGGCATTTAAGCTGGTTTAAGAGCATATCAAGTAAATGTAAAACTCAACGTCCGTGTGGTTCTCTATCGTTCTAGTTTGTTAGATTAGTTTTCTGTCTCTCCCTTGTGATATTACGTACAGTCGTAGAGTCAAACTTATCCCTTATCAAGTTGAGCAACAATCTTTGGAAAAATACTCTGATTGACTGTGCCCGGTAAATAAAATTTACCTTCCCTTAGAAGCCTGGTTAACCGAACTTTTACTTTATGTAAGATGTAACGAAATTTCAGTCCAGTCAAGTTTTCTAAGGTAAGAATCGTCCGGCTAAATAATTAGGTTCCTTTATCTTGAACCCCAGAACCCTGCCAACTTTTGGATTATGCGCTAAGTAAAATATTCAGTAAATCCACCTTGATTTAGCACGAATGGTTTCAATTGTATCGATCAAATGCAGCTGTGCGTCTACCCCGCACACAATACAGCAGTAGGTAAGTCACCCCCTACCAAGCATACCTCAGTTCCTTGTCAAATCAATAATTAATATCCAAATATACGCACTGAATTTTTAATTTCCGATACAAAACGCCACTGAAGTTCAATTAAACACCGACATAAATGTCAAAGAATACTCTGTGAGTCTGCCAAGTATTATGTACATCCAGGTCATTTTCCTGAATATCACGTCTGTTGATTAATCAGCAGCAGCCTTGAAAGCTCAGCATCAGTAGTGTCCATTCTCTCTTGTCTGCGTTATCACCGCAGTATTTTGTGTAGTCTGTACCTCTCAACATCAGACTGAGAAGAATGAATTTAGGATTATAAAATTATACTTAATCCTCGCTGCTACATGCCTCCATTTCACGTTGTGTTGGTGTCTCCTGGGATCAGCACAAATTGAGACTGCGCATCTTAGTTCGTTGCTTAATTTGATATTTCTGTACAAAACGTTTGCATTTTCCGAAGGCTGGCTGGTCGGGACAATTTATTTTGTCTAAGAAATGTTTCAGTCCAACGCTTGATTTTAACTAGATCTCCATTGTTGACACATCTTATAGTGTGCTCAGATTCCATGGAGAAGAGAATGATTCAAGACATCTCGACCAAAGTGGAGAGTCTAGATTACATGTGAGTACAGCTATGTAAGATTAAGTAGGGTGTTTCTCAGGGTGATTTTCCTATGAAGATCTTTCTATTTTCAGTTATATCTGAAGTAAAATAGTAAAATGGAACTATTGTCAAGGATGCTCGTTTTGAAGAATTGAGCATTCTGGGCACATTCAGAATTTGGAAGATCTATATCTCATACCTAATTTTGGCTGAAACTTTTATCCAATAAAAATCAACTGACTAGATTAGTATCGGTGATGATACGATATCATAAAGATTTGTATGATATATTCTAGTAATAAATAGCTGCAATCCAGTCTAAATATATATATACGTACAGCCTCAACATGGCCGCGGCCCTCTCAACATGACCGGCTCTCTCAACATGGCCTTTAACACGCCAAGATCGTGCTCGAGCGTGATGTCCACCGCATCAGTTCAAGCTCTAATCATCCAAATAAAGTTCAAATAACGTGCCATTACTATGTACACATGCTTCTTAGTAGTACAGTAAAAACCAAGGTGGACTTATTGGAGTATTGTCGGCAGATTGTAGCAAGGATACTGCTATATATCGTGTTGCTGTGTAGTGTGTATAGTCTCTCCGTGCTGTTGATTAGGTAGGATATTTTGTTTTTTAGTTGATATAGATTATAAACGCTGTTGTATCTTTTAGCAGGATTTTTGTGCAGTTTATCTTAAGGTTGCAGGTTGTTACTTATCTGAAGGTTGCAGGTTGTTACTTATCTGAAGGTTGCAGGTTGTTAGTTATCTGAAGGTTGCAGGTTGTTAGTTATCTGAAGGTTGCAGGTTATTACTTATCTGAAGGTTGCAGGTTGTTAGTTATCTGAAGGTTGCAGGTTGTTACTTATCTGAAGGTTGCAGGTTGTTAGTTATCTGAAGGTTGCAGGTTGTTACTTATCTGAAGGTTGCAGGTTGTTACTTATCTGAAGGTTGCAGGTTGTTACTTATCTAAAGGTTGCATGTTGTTACCTATCTGAAGGTTGCAGGTTATTAGTTATCTGAAGGTTGCAGGTTGTTACTTATCTGAAGGTTGCAGGTTGTTAGTTATCTGAAGGTTGCAGGTTGTTAGTTATCTGAAGGTTGCAGGTTGTTACTTATCTGACGGTTGCAGGTTGTTACTTATCTGAAGGTTGCAGGTTGTTACTTATCTAAAGGTTGCATGTTGTTACCTATCTGAAGGTTGCAGGTTATTAGTTATCTGAAGGTTGCAGGTTGTTACTTATCTGAAGGTTGCAGGTTGTTAGTTATCTGAAGGTTGCAGGTTGTTACTTATCTGACGGTTGCAGGTTGTTACTTATCTGAAGGTTGCAGGTTGTTACTTATCTGAACTCTGAAGGTTGCAGGTTGTTAATAATCTGAAGGTTGCAGGTTGTTACTTATCTGAACCGTTGGTTAAGTAATGGTATTTGTAGAGGTCCATACCTGTAGTCAGTAGTGGTGTTTGCTTTATAGGTATCTGTAGAGTCGTAGACTGTAGAATTGTTCTGTGAAGGTATTTGTTATGATATCTTGATTGTTTTGCTTACGTCAATCCTTTTGATTTTTAACAAATTCTTTTATATTTTTAAACAGTATCTGGTGCCTTGTCTGAGCGAATCATCTAGTTTATAGGTGGCTAATAATCAATAGCTGGCCGAGTTTGGGGGATTAAACAGCAACTATTAAACCTTTCCTAACAGTCTTAAGGAAACCAATACTTAACTGAGGTTTAAAATTGATTGTCAGAAGAAAAAAACTTACTTAAAACACAGCCTGACTCAATTATCCAGTATTAAGGCGTGACGAGTCCCGTCCTCTAGTCAAGTAGTACAGACAATATGTCACCACGTTATATTTGAAGCATGACCTGCTCTCCGCGACATGTAGTCATGGTAAGCAAGAAGCACAGCCCTAAGATACAGACTATTGTTATACGCTGAGGACGTTATCTCATTCTTATAAACTTCATGTGTGACATGTGACATGTGACATGTGATCTGCACTCTAGAGGTGATATCATTTAACCGTCCTGGTGTCTTTAGTCACTCCACCTTTCTGTTGCGGGGAAGGTTTAGTAAAGTGCTGTTTTCAGGGGAATGTTCACATTGTTGTTTTTTTGTTTCTGTTTGTTAAGTACTCAATACGTCTTTATTTTAGTATGAAGTAGGTACAATGGCTATTAGAGGGTTGTTAGTGTCTCATTAGTGTCTCATTAGTGTCTCATTAGTGTCTAATTAGTGTCTCATTAGTGTCTCATTAGTGTCCCAGTGTTTATCGAGCTGTTATTGTGTTCCAGGCTACAGTCATGTTGGTAACGAGTCTACCATAGTTATCTTTTGTATCACAACTTGATATTGTTTACTTTTAAATCTAGCTTCCAAATTTGTGTCCTTTCCTTTTTTCTAGCTCTCAGCTTAACTATTAGCAATTTGGTCAAGTCCTAAGACCACCAATGTTCGTTTATTGTTCTGAATCTGCCTCAGATTCTGTGAGCTTTTGTGATCAACACAAGATATTTGTCAATATATCCCCCACAATGTCCCCCACAATATCCCCACAATATCCCCACAATATCCCCCACAATATCCCCCACAGTATCCCCCACAATATCCCCCACAATATCCCCCACAATATCCCCCACAATATCACCCACAATTTAATGTCCCCACAATATCCCCCACAATATTCCCCACAATCCCCGACTTTACAGCTTCGACATGACGTCAGGGTTGTCAGTAATAGGAACACAGTTATGTGAGCCAGACAGAAGAGGATTGATCAGTGGTCCAGGGCTGAGACTAAAATCTGGTTATGCTCCAACTCCTAATAAAGAGTAAGGTTAAATGGTGAAAATTCCAGGCTTATTGTCATGTGATTCCATGCTATGTGTCACGTGATTTTGACATATATCCCGGATGAATAATCCCTTGTGGCTACATGCTGATTACTGCCTCCAGTTATGTTTGATCTTGTGAAATGATTGCTGATGTAATGTTGAGCTACATACATTTGCAAATTGTATTGACGAATTTTTGACATTTTTGACATTTTTCTCCATCCTTTCTTGAATGTTCGGACAAAAAGAATTGGACCAAAATTGGGCAAATATGAACTTGCCGTAAACCTGCAGAAAGTTATTAAAAGATTGATGAGTGCATAAGTTGCTTTCGATTGATTTCTACGACGATATCATTTTTGGTCGATCAAGCATCAATAGTTTTTTCGTTCTCATTATAAATTTAACTAATAATAATTTAATATTCTTAAATCAAAAGTATTACAACAATTGCAAAAGTTTTATGATGATATGATATTTTTCTAGCTCTCTTTTTCCATGTTTTTGCCTCACAGGAGATATTTTGGTCTTTTCTACTGAATATAACTGTAATACATTGATGTAAAGTTTATTTGAATTTTGAAATAAATAAAATGACCGGCAGCCAATTGTATTTCATAAAATATTTTAACTTTCTTTTAAAGAATTTTACAAATCAATTATTCCACTCGCAAATCACACTGAACTAGCTCCAGCAACTTATTGATTATTTTTAAAGCACGAAATCACAAAGTTAAAAACTGCGACAAATAGAGCTAGAGTTCGAGTAATTAGCCTCCTTTATTAATGAACGTTTGCGGAATCAAGCAAAGTTCATCAAAGTGCAGTCCATAAAGTGCAGATAAATAATCCAGTGCCATCCAACTACATTTCCATCAATAACAGTATTCTAATATTGGAGATCTGAAATAAAACTTCATGTCTTTTTCACCTAAATTAGAATCATATATTTTGCTATTTTCACCGGAGATGGTGTTGCATGTTACACAAATTATACGATTTATCAGATGATTAAACTGAAATTAGAAAGTTAGATATATCAATGAATTGTAATTATTTATCAATATCTGTTCTTGTTCATAACATACATCACATGATAGCTCTGGCTGGAACATAATTTTTTCCTTTTCACCCTTTTGAAAAAAGGCAATAGTGAAAGGTTACGAATGGAGGTTTTTGCAGAAAAACGTGGATTTTGGAGATTGCCGTAGGTGGGTCTGAATATGTCGTCAGTCCTTCCTTACTTCCGTTAGTAACCATGTCAACGGAAAAGCCGCGCGCATGCGAGAGGATTGCTTGCGGAGATGTGATGTATAGATAGCCTGTGATCTATGAATGCGCGGCGCAACTGTGTTTTAATGTAAACGATGTAATGTATAATATTAGGTTATAAGCCCAATTTGTACGTGGCACGCGTAGTGTATTGATGTGTACACGAGTATAGTTTACCTTTGCTTACAATTTAAGTTATTTGCTTTACAAGTTAAGTTCTTTGGCAATTGAACTGAATTTCAAGTGTTTCCTGTACTTAATGCATAATTTATCAATATTATTATCATGAAGATTGAAGTGAGCTGATTGGAGCTTATACTTAAATTTATAGTAAATGTGAAATGGAAATCTAGCGTCCGCCAAAACGAAACAACGGGCGCAATTCTTGTTAGTTTCAGGGTCGTGAAATCGGCACTCGCTGTTTATTCGAGGAACGTCAGCTATAATGAGGACAACTCTTAAAATACTGTTAATTGTTTCAGGCGGATTAGTGTAAGCAAGACGAAGATATCTCCTCCGTTCATTCAGACAGCTAGTGGTATGATATCCTCCAGCAGAGTATCCTTTCAGGTAAATAGTGTATTTTTTATTGAAGTAGATAGTATCATCTATTAATGATGTAAATAATTTGTTTTTAATTTGAAATAATATGTGAAATATGTGAAATTAAATAAAGAAGAATATTTGTACGCCACCCATATCAACAATCTTTGACCAATCTTTGAGTAGAAACTAGAAACATTCCACTGATTACAGTGCTATGTGGTTATGTGGCTGGCAGATTGTTATTGATATTCAAATATTATATTTATGTACTTATGTCTTATTATCGTTTGCTAACCCGTTGTTTGTACTTATTATCTATATATTCTGGATTTAGCGATCTGTGATATATGCAACATTATTCAGGATTTAGTGATCTGCGTACTGCACTGTTTACAACATCTCATGGGTAATAGAGGTAAAGTCCAAGCACCAAATGATGATTTGAGTGTCAAGCAGATCTGCTACGAAATAGCTTTCAACGTTCTCAAATGTGAGTTTAAATCGTTTGCTACCGCCATATTTTCTATAGCTGTGCAGCTATGCTGCCCAAAATCTGGTGAAAACTAATTTATTCTATCTTTTAAAGCTGTGGACTGTAGAGAAACATTGCAACGTCTTATAACTCTGCAGTCTAACACTCTTTATAACCTCATCCCTAGATCTTTGCGAGATGTTCTAATGCTATTATATTATATATATTATATACAGCCACTTTTTAAACGAAATCTTTTTATTATGATGTAAACAAAAAAAGAAGCGATTGATTTTCTTTCCGTTGAGGGTAATTAAAGATATAAATATAACGATGTAAATAAAACAACGCTATTATAGATAGCAAAGAAAATTTCTAACACATTAAATAAAATCTGAACGGATCATTCCACAGAAACCCAACCCATCCAAGGATGGAATATAAGCTCCCCAGGAGTCATCCTATCATCCTCATCAACAATCAGCAGATCACACAAGAACTCCCGACTCTCCACATCAAGCCGACAGTTAATAAACTTCAGATGTTCGTGTTCTGCCACTTCCTGTTTCGTCGAGAACGGACACCCGCCATTCAGGAGGACATAAGCTAAACACCCAATACTCCAAGTCATGGCAGGGAGGGCTGAATAGGATCCAAACTTGAAGCACTCTGGTGGGAGGAAGACTTCAGTTCCTTGATAGTGAGAATAGGGGGTATCAGGGATGATGGAGGCTGAACCAAAGTCTATCAATTTAATCTGGCGAGTAGTGGGATTATAAAGAATATTCTCGTTCTTAAGGTCTCTGTGGTCTATTCCGAGTGATATAAGATAGGAGCAGGCGTCAAGGAGCTGTGTCAGCACTTCCCTAGCATCCTCCACCGTCAGAGATCCGTTCTGAGAGATGTAGTCACATAGGTCTAGGTCTACATAGTCAGGTATATACTCCATCACAATGATCCACGAGTTCCTCTCGAAGTATATCTCGTAGTTTTTTATTAGGTTAGGGTGGTCCAGCGACTCCGTCAAGAGGATTTCGTCAGGTATCATAGCTGATCTGTCTTCACACCAGGTCTTCCTCTTGCAATTATTGTCGTGTATTATCTTAGCAGCGTGGAGGGTTCCATCGAAGATACGCTCGACCAGCCACACAGTTCCAAATCCGCCTTTTCCAAGAACTTTGATGAATTGGTAGGTTTTCATGAAAGTTATAGGGTAAGTTTTAGTACAGTTCATCGTTGAACAGAGGAGTAGGAGAAGTTGAAGAAGTGAAATGTTCGATGGAGAACTAGCAGACAGATGTAGTATTTATAGTTGACTTGACAATGGTAAGTTTGAACACCTATCTATTTCTCAGATCAGATTTCAAACCTTATTCACTGACTGGATCACATGCTCACTGACTAGATCACATGTTCACTGACTGTATCACATGCTCACTGGCTGGAGCACGTGTGTTGATTAGATGGTTGTGTGATTGGATACCACAAATATTTACAAACTTTATAATACCATTAAGCCAAGGTAGGATCAGGTGATCAACATTCAACATGCGACCTATCCCACAGAGAACAGTATGGTCTGTTGATTGGTTCTGCTCAATCGTTATAGCACTATCAAATCTGAGGAAATGTTGACCAGAGCTACAATAATATGTTATGCAGTCCTCAATTTAACTGTAATAAGATTCTGCAGTGTAAAATATGACAAAAGACGGCTAAACATATTTAAATTAAAGCGGAGTTATTTTAAATAGAGAATACGCACTTAAACAATAACATTTGCAAGTTGTGACAGTTCTCAAGGAAAATCTGTTAAAAATATCTCAACCTACAAAATCTTATTGGATTTTGTAATCTACTAATGGGCTAATTTATCATTTACGAAAAAAGTGGGCACGACTTATGCTTCGGTAACTTTAGATTGCTAATTGAAAGCTAACCATTCAATCAGTTAATTATCTAATATGTCTCCAGATCGCACAGTGATAGTGGACGTTCTGAACGAATCCCATTTCTACGCTACATTCCCTAAACTACAAGATATTCATCAGCTGGTTACCATCCTCACCTTCATCCAGTATATTATTGAGCAGCCTTTACCTAAAGACAACGTCTATCACAACGAGATAAGGTGGGATATAGAATTTAGATGAAATAATTAGAGATAATTAGAGATAATTAGAGATAATTAGAGATAATTAAAGATCTTCAAGTTAATTGGATGGTTGGAGTCTTTCACGAAATCTGAGAAATAAGCTTATGAATGCTAGTACGTACGTCTGACGTCACCAACAATTCTAATTTGATCAAACTGTTTTTATACTCATTTTCACTCTCTGTCCGAAGACATTCACTTCTCAGCTGACATAAATCAACTGATATTAAAAATACCTCAAATATTTCGGCTGATATTAAAAATACATCAAATATTTCAGGACGATCCTAAGGGCTCTGTTTATGCACAAGATTCACATTGACGCCTCATTTGCACGATCACGTATCAAGGTGAGGAAGGCCCAGAAAACCGACACCTCTATTACTGCCTAGACTTTAAACGCAGTTACCCTGGCACCCTTTAATTCTGGGAACTCCTGCGTGACTGTTTAGTCCTAGCCTGAGCTGCGTGACTGTTTAATCCCGTGACTGTTATTCAGTGTTTTAGTGTTGGGTTCGAACCGGATAAGCTAGGACAAGAAGTAATTAAACTAGGAGTGGAAATATTTTGGAATAAGTAGCTGCAGTCTGATCCATGGCTGCGGAACGGTGATTATCACAGAATTACCATAACGACAAATTTGTAAATAAAATTCAGGTCATACTGCGATTATGTAAAAACTAGTATACCATAACGTCCTTTTAAAGAATTATCCTTGTGTTTCAGCTAAATGCTGCTACTGTAATACACTTATTACCTGAAGAAGACAGGGAAGAGTATGAGAAAAGTACACAGATAGATGAAAATGCGCCTCCTTATTATTCAAGAATCAACAGAGTTAAGGCAAGTCGGTATAGTCATGTGATTTTTAGAAACTCCATAAAAAAGTAAATAATGTGTGTTGTATACCAGATTGAAAAATTGTGATCCATGTTGTATCGTGAAAATATGTGATGAAATGAACATCTATTTAAATCTTGAGAAACTGGCTGTTAAAATAGGACGAATATCAGACTATTTTTATAACTATTCTTAACATATTTTCTATCATTCGTTTTACTTATTAATTAACAGCGACATTCCTCAGAATTCTGCAGATGACGTCATAGGATCACTTCAACAGCACTTCAAGTATTATCCCTCAACTCCTGACAACATCACTCTTAATAAAAACCCCGGATTTTTCAGGTATTATACTGAACTAAGACCTGACTAGGTTGCATACCGAAGATTCTTCAACAATGTTAAGCCGGAAAAATTGCATGCATCAAACAACTTACTTTATTTTGGCATCTGCAGATTCTGCATGTACAATGTAATGATATGTTATATGTGTTTTGTTATGTAATAACCATTTACATTCCACTATTCAACAGGGATAACGAGTTTAAAGATCTCCTGGTATTTTCCCACACCCTACGGGAGGAGGTATGCACAGAATGTATTATCAACATTTAAATAATCAAGATATCTCCAGCAGAACGTCTTAATAGAACGGAAATTATTTTTCCCAATTTTCTGAAAACCATCACATTCCAAGGTTTTAGTTTTGATTGGACCTCCAATTAACCATTTCAGTTGACTTCATTGGCGATTGTTAAAGAATCATCGCTGGTACTACAAGAACGTGTACTGTCGTACGTCATATCATCTTTACAAGGACTGATAATTCGTGGATACGATATCATTCAGACTCATGCTGGATCAGGTACTACAAGCTGTGCATTTGTTAAATTTCATATACCTGAGAACTTGTCCCAAAACTAATTTTTGACCTAATTTATTCGAGTAAGATTCACCGTGAGATGTCAGTGAGTCAGTGAACAATGAACATATCTTACAACGCCACAATGGTAGCTTGGTTACAGGGTGATTCCTTAAATCGTCTCTAGCTCTCTGTAGTCTATTTTTTGTACAGTCACTAAGCTGTCTTTACAAAACTCGGTCTAGTTTTGAATTGGTGATCCTAATTTCCCTTAATACTTTAGAGAGCCAAATTCACATAATTTGGGTGGGAAACGGTAAATCGTTTTTGGGAAATGGTATTGTTTTTGTACGGATATGAATATTTGTAAGCCTAGTTTACGACAACTTCTCATTGTTTAACAGGCTTATCTTCAACAGTTTCACCTCAAGGACTAATTGATTAAAATTGATGATCATTCTCTTCTTTAATTAAGTTACTGCTTTACTTCAATAAGCCTTCAAATATCAGGCAATTGATAATTTGACTCTAAGTTCAAAGAGTTGGCTTGCAGCCAATTGATGCGACACTTATATTGGTATTTTATTGGTATTTTTGACGCGTGGCATCCATGCGTGTGGTATGCTGTGCTAAAATTTAAATCATACAACAGGTCTACGGAAATTATTAAGTTATAAATGAGGTGTTATTATTGTCAAATAATTATGTAATTACAACAATTAATTAATTAATCCCCAGGTTCCCTATCCAGCTACCTAGCCTCAGTGGTTGATGGTAACAAGTGTAAATTACGAGTCTGTGGCTGTAGTCCTGGAGACATTCCTCATTTACAGAGGAATGTTTCCAGACAAGGGATTAGAAGTAAGTTATTTAAAAATCTTAACACATATCTATTAAGTTTATTAAGTTTATTATTATTTACTGTACAGTTTTATAGTTTTCTGTGAAACCAAATATGATTTTGTTAAACATGTCTTCTCCTTTTTAATTATCCACCTTATTTCTTTAAATTCTAAACGTGATTGATTTACTGGAGTTGATAAGGAGAAATAAACAGAAGAACGTGTTAAATCCTGACAAGGTCTTAATAGTTAATACTATTATAAATTTGAATCATGTTAGTCAACCGCCTATTTCTAGTTGTTAAATATCCTGGCCCCACCTCTCTGACCACATTGACCTGTCAATAAACGTCACCATGATTCGTTACCATGACAACTGTCCACTCACCTGGTAGTAATAAAGCACACACTATTCACGACACTGCTCTCTGCACTTGTTTAATTACATGTACGGTGTATATGAAGCTGTCTCTACAGAGCGGGCTGTTATAAACTGCCTGGAGTAAAGGTAGTGGCTCACACTCTGTTGATATCTCTTTAGGGAGTTTTCAGGTATCCCAACCTTACTTAGTTGAGTGTGTCCCACAACCAAGCACCATGCCTAGAAGTCCGGCGTTATGTATTATAATGATCCTGACCTAAGTGGCAAGCAGCTATATATCAACAACAACAAAAAAAGGAAAAAAAAAAGGTGGAGTTAAGGTGTAAAGGTGGAACTGATAGTGGCCGGTATATTAAATAAATTATCAACCTGGCGAAGTGATAGGAAATACAGACTTAGTTAAGTAGTTAATTTGGATTGAAATGTAAAATTTGGAATAGAGAGAAAATAAGTTACTTAGTCATAATAATCTATTTAGAGTTAACTTATGAGGATGTTTACAGTGTAGTGCGAATATACTACTAATATAAGATAATCATTAATTCATGTGCATATTAACCTCAAACTACCCCATTTACCACAAACTACATAACTCATTTTCCTCAAACTACCCTATTTGCCTTAAGGGGGCAGAGGGGGTCTTTATGAAATTTCTCTCGAAATTGATTTTATAGTTGTTTCTGATAGAAGGGAGTGATATCTGTCTGCTGCTTTTAGTCCCATGGAAAAATATTGTTCCTAGCCGAAGTTATTGCCAGTCATAGGTCAGCGCTCATGTGTAATTGTATTGCGCGAGCGATTTTCAATCGCGCGCCCTGAAAATCGAGTCTAAAAATCTATCTTCTCCTACATTTTTTGAGCAATCACCTTGAAACTTTCAGGATACGTTTTAAGGACCATTTAGAAACTTCTGGTCGATCAGAATTTTGAGATAGGCCTTAGAAAATTTTTTATTTAATTTTGAAAATCCTGGACCTGGAAAAATCGTCAAAAAACGAGGTCCAAGATTTTCAAAATTAAACCCCCCCCTGCCCCCCCTATCTCATTTACCTCAAACTATCTCATTTACCTCACTTTACCTCGTTTACCTCACTTGTAACGAACCCCTCTCTCAGATACTGAGTTACTGTCAGCCCCATTCCTGAGCTATCAAATTCCTGAGAAACCAGCTGTTCAGGCTATAGTGTGTACTCCTCCTAATACTATGAGTGCTATTAGGGAGCCTTTTAGATATGCGCTCTATGAGGGAGGTGAGTTATCAATTAATTAATTAGATAATTAAATAGTTAATATCAGTTAAACGAATTGATTAAAATTAATTAGGAACCTTTGTTTTAGCAAATATTTTTTGGCTATTCAATTTGTTTGTGGAACGGTTAAGGTACAGGTTTAGGTTTGGGTTAAATCCTCAGTAAACCAACACACTACAAACTAGTAAGTTTTCTAGTCAGAGAGTTGTTTGTAGTTTATTCTACAGAATTCATAGATGAACATAACTGTGTCTCTGATAGAGTGAAAGGTCATCCCTCAAGATGGACACTGATTAATTAATTTATACACTAAGTAAGTACACTGGTGTGGGTGGCACCATGTGAGCGGCACTGCTTGCTTGCTTTATGAGCAGGTTTCATCTACAAATGTTTCTTCAGTACTGAGTATTCAAGTTTCTGGGGGATCATCGCCATTTGTAATTTATCACAGAAATTTTATGACCGGGAGTGGTAGAAACTTTGGCGGTTTTTATGTTTTCGCTAATTATTCGAGATTCCCCGAAACATGGTTGTCGAAAATGGAAATGTTCCCCCAGCCTCCTTTCAATATCAGACCTGAAATTAGGCGCCATAACACGACAGCAAGTACGTGTGTCTGAGAAATGTGTCCAACAATGTTCACTCGTGTGAAGGTGTTTTAATAAGTGTGTGTGTGTGTGTGTGTGTGTGTGTGTGAAATTCGTTATGATTTTAAAGAAGGGAGACGACACACAGATTCACAGCTAGATTGCTCGAGGTGATAATTGTAAAGTTTTAGTTGCTAGGTTATGCAATAATTTGATATACCAATTTGCACTCAGCATAATTTGGATGTTAAGAAAATTCCATTGAAAGAATTATGGATTGGGCATGATAATCTGCATATGTGAAAATAATATCAATGTCAGCATCGTTAAGATTGCAGGAAGACTTTTGAAGTAATACTGTGTTGCGTTTCGTTCTTAGCTTATGTTATAGCATAGGCGAATCTGCAAAGAGATCTGCTTAATTATTGTGGGTGCTCAGGAGCCTTTATTTATCAGTAAATTAATGAGGGAGTGGGTTAAAATATTTCGTAATATGTCGTAGAGGGCAGCTATATAATCTTGCTATAATAGGAGTTTTAAGTTTATAAAATTTCCTAGTAAAATACTGGATGTAATTGTGGTCTGTGAAAACAAGTCATATTGTTGTTCTCACATGCCAAATTTACCAGTAATTCATTGGTTATGAGCTGTATTGTTTTAGAATAGAGCAAATGCTTCTTGTGTATGGTCAAATATTTATATATTTTTAAGCTGGATATTGGTCGGGAGGTGCAGTGGCTCCACTGACCTAGCTTAGTGAAATATTTATTATTCAGATTACAGCGTGGCTGGGGAAAAAGTCAACAAAAATCAGACTTCGCTGAGGCAGTATGTCGTTCATCAAACAAAAACTCTGAGGCAGGCGCTTTCATGTAAGTTTTCAGAAATTTCAGTCGCACATTGAAAGTTTATTTTTTGTTGCGCGGGAAAACATTTGTATATAAAAGTTAAAGCGTTTTATAACTTACTGTAGCAGAAATCAACAGCGCAGCGCGCGTGATTTCAACGCGCATTGCTTGAAATGAGTTTCACAGACCCACATTTCGCCGATTTTAGTTTTTCCGTTTCAACTGGTTGAGCTGATATGAGTTCCTTTGACCTTTTCAAATCATCAATACCGACAATAAAAGGTATCCTTCATTCCAGATCCAAAAGTAACGACTGTTATTTACTTTACCCTATCATCAAACTTCCAAGAAAATGAGGGTGTCGTTAGGAACTGTTTGGAGGAGTTCAACGAAAAATGCGAAAATCCAGCTCACAGGTTTGATCTGTAGCAAAACTTAGAAAATTGCAGCTAACCGTTTGTCTGTTTGACATATTTTAAAACTTTCCAGTACAAACATCAACATGATCTTAATCAAGTTTACCCCTCAGATTTAACCCTATACCTGTGTTACCAACGGTGCGACATAATGTGCTCAGTGACCCGACAGCAGAAAAACCCTCTCCAAAAGAGTTCTATAAATTCATCGAGCCGGATGCTGGATATGCGGGTGGCTTTCTCACTGTTCTTTACAGGAAGGTAATGTGGCACTTTTTCAATCTCCTGGTACGGTTGCAAACCATTATCTGACTACAAAACTACTCTACTAAAAAGCTCAACATGTTATGATTTATTTTAAATTAATTTCCGTTTTCAGATGCCCGAAGACCCCAAACCATCGCACAACCACACAGAGGAATCAGCTTCAACCACATCCATCAGAGCGAACAACCCTAGCATAACACTCAATTCCAGAGAATCAATCTCGCAAACGTCACTGCAAACCACAAACATCAAGCGGAAGAAAAAGGGACACGCTAAAGTTATTTCCATGGGAATGGGGGACGACAATATGGTGTTACTAACAGGTGACCTTAGCAAGCTGGCTCTTGTTGAGAAACAGCCTTCTATTCAATCGTTTAAAAAAGAGTTTATTCAGAGCTATGAGATGATCATGGGTCCTGGAAGTAGAGCTAAGATGACGAAGATGAAACACGTGAAACCCAAGAAAGAGCCCGAACCAGTTCTTCCTAAAGTCAGCGCTGTTATTACTAAAGCGATGGAAAGTCGGAAAAGGGAGAAATTCAAGCCTACACCCATTTATAAACAAATAATAGAGCATCCCCATCCGTTCAAGTAGAATGATAGTGTATCTGCGCCCGCCGTGGGCTGTCGTAGATTCATCCTACAGTATCAACGATCGGTGTTCAGCTTTGATTGAAATTTGTGTCAGTGTATTTGATATTTGTGAATGGACCGATCGAGAATAGATTTTAAAATGATTAATCATAAATCTTTAACAATCTAGTTGGTGTTTCGATCACAGAAATGGTTTCTATAATTAAAGGGTTAATACATTGTAAATACATACGTACATAAGTAACATTTTCTGAAAGGCTGTTTAACTTGCTATTCAAACATGTGTATCGAGTAAGATCCATTACACATGTTATGCCTAATCACTTAATGAAATAGCCACTGCGGTCATATTAAGAAGTTTAGAATATCTGGTTGGGATGGCAACGTGACCAAATATGGTCAGTGCGCGCGTTGAACTGAAGACCTATTAATACAACTCTGTTTTAGCGCCCTACGTAAATCAACGAGAGCGCTTGTGACCAGTAGATGTTTTCTTCTCAAAACTGTAAAAATGTCGCTTTTCAAAACTATGATTATGCGGACAAATTTGATTCTAAATATTGCAAAAAGGTAGGTGCGTGCGCGAGTTTACATAGATAATCAATACTGTCTGGAGTAGTGAAGTCAATCAAGATGTCGATTATTATTATGGACAGGGGCGAGTTATTTTATTATTATTTTTATTATCTTGACAGTTGCTGTGGTGGTGGTGATGGGCTAGGCGTCTAAGGGTCCCTCAAGCAAGGTCTTCTTAGCAAACGCCAGGATTTCTATCGGGTTGGTGGTTAGTATGTCTAAGTTTAAGTCAGATTTTCCGAAGATTTCTTCTCTCGTCCTGATCGTTGCAGGGCACCGAATCCAGTGTGGTACTGTTTCTTCTTCTTCTCCGCAACGGGGGCAAGTTGCACTCTTTGTAGAGTCGATCCTATTTTTGTAGTGGGACAGGTGAAGGCAATGGCCTGCTCTGAGTTGTATTGTGCTAGCAGCGCTCCGTCTTTCCTGCTCTCTATTTTGCTGTCCGCTCTTTTTCTGTTGTATCCCTTGTAAGTCTGGGAGACCAGGTGGTGTTGGGGGTCGCTATCCTTGATGTGAGCCTTCGCTACTGCTCTGGCTACTCCGTATGAGATTGTAGACTGTCCTTGGCCCAGGTCCGGGAGTTGTGCTGCTTCCTTTGCTGCTTGGTCAGCGTATTCGTTCCCAGGAATGTTGGAGTGGCCGGGAATCCATTGCAGGTACGTCGTCCCATGGAGTGATTCCAGAGTTTTCCTGATATCCTGTGTGTCTGGGTTCAGGCTATCGATGCTAGTCAGTTGCTGTTGCAATGTAACTTGAGATTTGAAATTTATATTCCTTTATTCCTTGTATTCCTTGTATGTATTTTAGCAGACACAAAAAAGTTCGACTCAAACCTTATCAAATGGTTTTAATTTTATTGAGTCGGTATATAGTTCTGTGAAATCTGGTTCATTTATTTCCGGTGGATTGGTCTTTCTATACAGTTATTTAACTGGTTTCATGGTACACCGTCGTTATTAACTGAAAGTGATGAATCTATAAGGAATGAAGTTCCGACTTCCGAGCCAATTTCTTCATTTAAAGTTTGAAAAAGTGACCTCTTCAACTGTAGAAAGTGACTTATTAATCCTAGCAGGTAATTAACTCTGGATCCTGATCACATTGATTCCATTCTAAATTCTAGCCATAAACAAAACAAACATTACCAGATAACTCCGTTTACCATTTGACATGTTCCAGTGTGAACGAGGCCTTCCCCGGACAAATCCTTGAAGGCAATCCTTCTCTAGCTGAAGTTCGAACAGTATAATTTATCTGATGAAGTGTATTACTAAGGTGCTCTGCTGATAATTGTAGTAAAGCAATTAATAAATGCCAAAAAAATGACCTCCGCCGAGGATCGATCCGGGGTATGCTTCTTGGAATCGGAGACTTAATCGCCGAGCTACGAATGGCTCAGCAGATTTACAATATGTAACAATTTAGCGTTCATAAAAATACGCGCACGCACGTAACTTTTCGTTATTTATGGATCCAAATAATAGCGACATTTTTACAATTCTGAGAAATAAACCTCGCGCGACATAAAGCGACATTTTTACAATTTCGTTTACAATTTTGCTAGAACACCTCCTCCTTGTGACTGCAGAAGGACTTACTGTAGACCACAACAATAAAGCCGGCCAATAAACTTCAAGCTTTACAATGTTATCGCAATTTTATTGACGCTTTGACCATTTAGTGAGTGACCAGCTTTCATTTAAAATATGAGTTGTTCTGCCGATAGGTTGAACAAGCAATTTTACATTAGCTTTAAGTGTTTTTGTTGGAGTACTGTAATGTATTGTTGAAAGGAAAGTCTCATCTCTTAAATAGCCGAATCTTTAAAGAACTAACTTTATACAAATCAAATACATGTACGATAAATAAATCACGATCACGTTAATAAACATGTATAAAAGTTTTTACAAAAAATAAACTGAGTCAAATGAACAAAAACATAATTTTAGATAGCCAATTTTTAACTCCAACTTGATTTGTGATTCTGAGTCATTATTTTACAAATGGAACTATTAAGGTAAGTAAAATTCCAATCGTTAAATATTTATAAATACATTCAACCAGAGGCGACTGGTTAGGCTTTAAAATTAAGACATTCCAGTTTCCACAGACAGAAAATCACTAAAAGGTTGATTTTCAGAGGCTAAACATCAAGCAATATCCATAAAAACTGTGAACTACTAAAAACACGATTAACAACAACTTTTAGAAGTTTCAATTACCATAATTGCTAACCAACGCTGAAAGAAAACTTCGCTAAAACTAATTTTTCTAATCTATTTCTAAACCATATGGCCTTTATAGTGGTCAGGGGCCCGGCCCCTAAACCCCCTAAAACCAGATATCCTAATCTACTCACACTACACTCCCTACAGTCGCCTCTTACTTCAACAATCATCTCTTTATCCAAACATCAATAAGTTAACACAATAAGTAATCGCTAAATGTATTCAGAGTACATTCCACATAACACATCAAGTGCGGACAATGTGCACAGTGTGTGCACATCAAGTGTGCACAGCAAGTGTTTTAGTTCCAGTGTTAGGTGCACCTCCACCTCGTCCTTCTATTGCTGCCATGTGCGCACGTCCTCTACACCCTGACACTCCCGCTCCTTCAGTCTCGTTACAGCAGTCCCATACGTTTACCTGTACAAGAAACATTATTTGTGAATGACAGAGTTTATTTAACATGCTTTATTCTATATATTTTATTTAATATATTACACTATATTATACATTGAACCGCACAGATTCTTCTTTGGCATTATTATGGCCCTTATTGCTTCATGGGAGAATAATTACCTGTTAACGGGTGAAAATTGTTTGAGTTAGCTAACAAAAATCTAACTTAATATCTTTATGATGGATCAAGTTAAATATCTTAAAAACCTTGAATTCAAATGAACTTCCTCCAATGTGTTCACGAACAACATTTTGTGGAAATAAGTAGTACGTGTAGCAATGTATAAAGTCGAGTAAAAGTTGAGCACATTTTAAACACATATCAGTTAAATCAGCAAGCATGATCACAAGCATTACACCGATAAAGTTGTGACGTATATCTCACGAGAGAAGTCACATAAACAAAAAGACAAAACATTTCCTTGCCGACAATTACACATAACTACAATTACAACTGCAAAGTTAGAAAAATTTATACTACGTTCTGTTGTAAATTTTATACAATTTTACACAAATATCATTCAATCTGAAAAAAAGAATTGGGTCAAATATCCAGCATTACATTTTATAGGTCAGACTCCAGTTTTAGTAAAATTCACATGACAGAGCACGTTTTGGAGAACAGGCTTGAGTTTGCTTTTTCATGTTCTATGATAAACGTACTGACACTGATATTGTCTCGTTCTGGCGCAGTTTTTAGATTTCCCTGGCTTTTTCCTTCGTCAATTTTCGCTAGATTTACTTTCCTCCTTGGTTTTGCCTCAGTTTTAAAATTTAGATTTGTTTTATCGCCAGACCTTTTCCGTAAAAAGGGTTTCTTCTTGTCCAAAGATTTGTCCACCCCAATTTCTATGTAAGATGGGCTGATCTTACGATTTAGTGAGTCTTTATCATTCTCATCATCATTCTCCTCGTCGTCGGGCACTTTACAACCAGGTGTTATCACTGCTGTGTGTATTGTAAACTTGCAGCCGGCGGTGATGCGCGCTCCTTGACTGCTTTGGCGCGAGAGGTCGTGCGTTGCTCCGCAACAGTCCCACGCTTTTACCTAGGGTTGTGACATACCTATGTGATGGTTTTTAATTACATTCCGTGTATCATGGGATACTACCATACCACTCCACTTGCTACCACTGTACGAACCATTAAAAAGTTGTACTATTTCGAGGGTTACTAATCTCAAGTGGGCTGATAAGAGACCCTAAAAAGTTTTAACAAAATGAGAGGCTTCGAATAAATTCCCAACAAAAATTAATCATCTAATACTATCATCACCACGAATTAAAGGAATTTACCGGTCTTCAAACTTGTTTACAAAGCTAAAACCCGGGCATTTTAATCGTTATGGCATCACCCTGATCTTGCAATCGATCGCTGACTTATTCAACACAGTTTAGGTAGAACCGTTGAAATGTTTATACGACGCAGTCACGTCACACCTATAACCAAACAACATATTTTACATTCCACATGCACATTCCACAGTTCACCCCACTCACCTTCATCCAGCCCCAGTCAATAACGGTAACTTTTCCAGGATGCCACCTACAGGCTCCAACATGGTTCTCGCTCTCCTTGTACTGCTCGCTACACCTGAGTCAGACATTGGGTGATCAGAGTTCAGCCTGTTTAGCTGTTGTTTACATATTTAATGAATTGATCGGGCTGTTCATAGTCAAATTGTCTTAAAAATGTTCGTGTAGATTTGACGAGTTACGTTTAAAGTACTACTGGTAGTAAACTTAATACTGATATTTACCTGCGACATTTCACAATCGCGTTAGAAGACCGTCTTGGAGTGGTTGGAGGAAGTCCGCTTCCTGATCCGCCTGAAAAGGAAGATAAGTAGATTTTGGAGGGATTTGGGAGTTTTACACATGAATATAAAGAGATTTAAAATGATTCGATTTAAGTTTTAGAGAGATTGATATAGAGGAACAGCTGTAAAGAAAACAAACCAGATAAGGGAGGTTGAGGTGGTCCCTCTCCAACGTTAGGGAAGAGAGCATCTCTCTTTAGTTTAGGAGATGGAGGTTGCTGGAATATTGAATCTGATGGTAACTCCTCGTCTGCAGTGCCAGCATTACTCTGAAATAACTTTACTTTAGAATTCAGAATTACACCAGGTCCATTCTATCTATATATTTAACGATTCAACAATATGAATACGGTCTTGCCATAAAAAATACAAGTACAATACAAGTACAATGACAGATAAAGATAAAAATTGATTACTCAACTTACCGATAGGTTTCCAGGAACCTGAGCTTTACCCCATCTTCTCCTGGATCTTCCTCCAGTGTTGGGCGTGCTGGGGGAAACTACCCCGAAATTAGCGGACACGTAACCTGCCGACAACATTTCACATTTCACATTTTATATGTCTAATCCAAATTAAATATTTCGCATCTTATATTCCATCTCATTTTATGATTTTCCACATTTTACATATTATTATATTTCACCCCAATTTTTCAACTAATTAACGAATAAGTGTTAATTAATTGTTCATATTATTACCTGACTCCTGACCGCCCGTGCCACCAGCAGCGGTTTTGTTTTTCCTGGGAGTAGTGGCACTTTGCTCCGGTTCCCCTCTTCTACCAGGGACTGCTGTGTTGGATTTACCTAGCAGCATTATAACCAGTGAGACAATCTTATGAGACAATCAAACTAATTAGCGAACCATTAAATTAACTTATTGACAACCAATTTATTACATATGACGCATTGTAGTGTTTAACATACCTAAACCTGGTTTATCCGGAGGCCCCGCTCCTCCCTCTTTAGACGTCCCTATAGTTGTAAACATATATAATATAAGTTTTAATTGATAATATAATCGTAATATTAGTTCGCAGACTAGAATTAGATGAGTATTAAGACTTCTTAAATGTTAAAAAGTTTGCCATTTAGTATGCAAATTGCAACTCCTTAGGACACACATTACACAGTACACACCAAAGGTTACTACTCACAGTCTCCTCGCTCAAGGATAATAAAATACTTGAGAATAAGACTAACATTTGTTCACAACTGCAGACTGATTACCCACAAACAATGTGGGACTGTCACGTGATGCGCGGAGCTGATTTATCATCGTCTGCGCAACGTCCCGCTCCCTGCGCAGTGCCGTCAGCTCTCTTCTGTCCCTGGGAAATGGCATTTATGTCAGATTTCAGATATTTAATGGATAATTTTACATGCGTAAAAATGTTAGTTCGAAGTTAAACTGTGTCAAGTACTGGAAAATTTCAGTTTAATACATTACACAGTAATTACTTTATTCTGGTTCACTAAATTATGATTAATTTATGATTATTTTATTTTGTTACCTCTCTTGTTCAAGTCTGAGTTGGGACACATTCTTGTTGGCAAGGTCATTCTCTCTCTTTAAACGTGCCAGAGAGGTATTGACCTGTTCACGTTCTCCACGCATTGTCTTCAGCTCCGCAATCAGCTGTAAATAGATACATATTTTAAACTTCTTTTGACTGGTAAATATTCCAAAAATTCTCACTGACATTGTACCCCAGCTGAAATTATCTAGTATTATATATTGCCACCTGATTTGAAGAATTCAGTCGCCGGAAATTTCTAGATCTAACGCCCAGTTTTTCTAGGACGGGATATACTATAACGATAAAGGTATAAAATTTAACATAACATCTTAAACTTTCAAAAATCTGCATTTGTATTTTACCTCTTGGAGTTGTTTGACAGTTTCGTCCCGTTCACGGCGCGCCTCCTTGCGTTCGCGCTCGGCAGACTGGCACCTGTCTGTCAACATGGATATCTTGTTCTGAAGCTCTTGGACGTTGTACTCTGCTGGGAATGTTATTGTGTTACACTGTGCACTCACTTTTTTTATTATAGTTCAGCTAGTGAAGCTATCGATATATTTATAAAATCCTCTGTATATAAATGGCAAATGATGTAATCTGAACTGGGTGAGAACTGAGAAATCACCAAACACGACAATGCAACTTTTTCCATTCTGTCACCATACGTTTTGTAAACAAACAAACTGTGATAATCCATTTGATTAATCAATTAATCAGAACGATTAAATTTCTAACTACTTAGAATTTATAGCTAGACTGATGTGACCTTCTCCTTGATGACAAGAAGTAAGGATGTTAAAAGCCTCCTTAATGCTGGGTCTGGTGGTTGGCTCGTAACTCAGCAGTTGTCTTAATTAATTAATCAGAACGATTAACTTCCTAACTACTTAGAATAATTAACTAGACTGATGTGACCTTCTCCTTGATGACAGGAGGTAAGGATGTTAAAAGCCTCCTTAATGCTGGGTCTGGTGGTTGGCTCGTAACTCAGCAGTTGTCGAACTATAAACTGGAACTCTTGTGGATAGCTGGTGGGGAGAGAGGGGATCTGTCTGTCATAATACTGGATAGGACGGCCGTACCTGCAGGGGAAATAGGTTAAAAATAAAACAAACTTACTGTTGCTTATTTAAAATTAAATAACCCAATAACATTTAACATTTAATCACCAAATAAAATTTAAAATTGAATGAAGTAATCAATCAGCAAATTAGATTCCCCAAGGCACCTGACTGGGTATTCAGGGAAGGGGTGAACGTTGCGTATCATCTCGTGGACCATGCAGGCGTACGCCCACTCTGTCTGTCGGAAGTAGCTCACAGTTGCTGCTTCCGCGCTAGGTCCTCCCCTTTGTGCTCTGAGAAACAGGCGTAGTTTTAGTTATCTAAATATTTTATTGGTTACCGAGGATAAAATGATAGTCTTATTTAGTTTATTTAGTTATTTGGTTGATCAAGTTGAATTGGAAGTGTACAATTAATACCTAAGTATTGCTGAATTTTACCCGATTTAAAAAATTCCTCCACTTGTCTCACCTGAAGAATTCGTTGAGAACCTCTGGTGAGAGATGAGCCGGGTTCCCACCGGGAGGTTCTCCTCTCATTAAAGTCTTCCTCATGGACTCTGTGTCAAACTGCAGCGCGCACCCAAAGTCACAGATGATAATGTTATCTGTGTCAGAGAGAAGGATGTTGTCTGGTTTCAGGTCCAGGTGAAGCACACCCTGAAATTTTTGGAGGTTCTCTGAATCTCTACAGGTCTACTTCTCTACTTCCTCGATGCGTAATTTTCAAAGGTTGTTTTCTCACATTTGTGAGAAAAACTAAGAACCTTTTTAGAGAAGGTAACAATTAAAATAATAGCTTAATGTCCCATACTGTGGATTAATTATTGTCTTTCCTTTTTTTCTGATGATCATTCTAAAGCAATCCCTTACGCGGCCTTACGTAGCCACATACCTGTGATTTTAAGAAGACAAGTCCATCAGCTAACTGTACACAATACTTCATTCCCGTATTTACAGGTAACGGGGTGGGCAAAGTGGCACGCTTCCCTCCAAAGTTGTTGTGATGGAAATCCATTATCACGAACTGCGATGAGTACTAAACGATTAAAGTTAGTTTTTTAACTGGGGATAGAAAATGCTTTATAATTATAAGAATTTTGCTTGATAGAGTGTTCTTCAGGCTCATATTGTGTATTTCCCTTTGTGTCCATTATATACATTATACAACCGATTTGTGAAAGTAAAATGAGGGACTGTGAAATAAACCAACAGTAATAAATACGATAATCATGTAGATTATTTGAATATTTAACTTGACTGTGATAGGTGAGTGAGGAATTGTGATTTAGAACAGGTGTAATGTTTTGTTGATTTCGTCCAAGTGGTGGAAACAATCTTGAGTGAGTTGAAATGTGCTGAAACGAACCACAACCTAGACATTCATTATGATACAACTCATCTCAATAATTGTTCAGGCATGTCCCAGCATTATATTGCCATGCCATGGCAATCGGCAAAGTGATAGTAAGAACATACAACAATGGAAATAATATTAGATACAGCATTTTATCCCTCTAGAGAGATCATATCAATGTTATAAATGAATCAAATATAACACAATCATAGTCACTATAAACGACATGTGGCTGCACAATGCACATTACCTGTGATTGCATGTTAGGAGTTGGATGTTTGCACTGTCTGGCAATGACTTCAGGTACAACATCTACAAACTGGGACCAATATCGTATTATGTGTGGGTGTGTTCTGAAGTGGAATATATTCATTTATTTATATTAGCCAGCTCAATATCAAACAATAATTTTTACTGTCAGGCATAATTCATTTGCAATTAATAATTGTCATATAATAATGAAAGCAAGAAATTGATCCGTGTTTGAAATAACCTTATTCTTGAGAGGATTTCCCATTCATTTTCAAAAGCATCCCGGATATCTCGTGTGCGCAAAGCGTTATCATTAAACAAAATTTTCACAGCATACAGTTTATTTGAAAAGGGTAATCCTCGGCGAGTGCACCTGAAGTAAATATTTGTAAATTTAACCAACAATTCTATCATGATTAGAGTAAAAAATCTAAAATTAATTTTTGAATACAGTGCACATGAAAAGTATTAATTAAGGTTACTCATGAACAGAAAATAGAAACAGCATGGTTAACCATCATAGCTACTGAGAAGCTTGTCTAATTAACTTCCAATTAAACAGAAAATTACAACTAATCTCATCAGTCACTTACTTAGCCGAAACAACGACACCATTATCTCCGTTACCAAGTACTCTTTCAAGTGCAAAGTCACCAGCTCGAGCAGCACTCAATATCCGTAGTTCTATGTCACGCTTCTCATGTACATCATTTGACTCTCTCAGATTGTTAGCAATAACCATTCCACTTATCAAACATCTGAGTTATGTGAATGAGAAATATGATAGTGGGAGTGATCATTTTCATGTGCATAAAATTCATAATAAAAACACAATAAAATCATAAGTTTTACAGGATTTTAGTGTATTTTCACATATTTACATTTTAAGTTTCCTGGCCTTCTAACACATGCTGACCTTTGACCGGCAGAAAATTTCCATGAAGACCCCCTGCCCACTTAAATCATTAGGTTCAATTGTGCTATTATAACCCAGTCTATTGTGGTAGTTGCAGAAAAGAATATTCAAGCTATTTGCAGAAAGAGGATACATTAATAGTTAATAATAGTTAATAATAGTTAATAATAGTTAATAGTACTATGTTTACAGTATGCACTGAAGGGGTATCCTAGGAAGTTTCTAGAACTTTTAACAGGTACCCCTCCTCATTTAACCCTCAATTAAGTTTCCTATCATTCGACTGAGTCGACCGAGGAGATCACATAGATCCAATACAATGGACCCTTAGCTACTCCCTAGACTTTGTGACACTGGGGTTCAAACCCTGAACCTTCTGTGCAGAAGGTAGAATATGTGAACCTGAAGTAAGGTAGAGTAAAGTAAAAATTACGACACCACATCATCACACATGTCTACAAAATATCATCGCACTATGTGAAAAAATATATAATACATGTTTCCCCACCAACATCAATTTTTTATCAAATACTCAAAAAATTTATCAATTAAATTATCCTATTTTAAAATGTTACCAAACTTCACAGTGGAATAAAGATTTATAAAACGCTTCTTTGCCACATAAGGATGAAACCAGAGATAATCGTTATGTTTATCTTCATTACTGACATAACTGGCTCCCTCAAATTTTACTAAAACTTCATTTGAAACATTCCAAAAAAAAGCAATCATTTGTATTTTGTAATATTTTAAGTAATCACGTCTTTTTTAAATCCTTCTAATTTACCCACCTCATCAATTAAACTGGTAAACCGCCTATGGACACTCTCCAAAACAATCCCCAAACCTCCATGAGCTGCAGGTGGATTCCACAATTGGACACAATACTCAAAATGAGGTCTTATTAAAGCTTTATATATTATAGTAATCATAACAACTTTTTCTCTAATAACTAAATTCCTTACAATCCAACAAATCATGCAATTTGCCTTATAGAGATACATGCTTTGATATGTTCATTCCAAAGCAGGGAGCTATGGGTAATAACCCGCAAATCTTTTTCATTTGCAGATACTTCAAGTTTTACACCTTTTACCTTATAATTTAAATTAGGATTGTTTTAAAAATTAATATGCACTACTTTGCACTTGGCAGGATTAAATTGTTAAAGCCAAATCACAAATACTTTCCCAAACTTCTAATTCTTCGATAACTTTGGCAACACACTTCAGTAACTATGCCTTATATTATTATTACTACAATTAGCTCCATTTTCTAGCTGTTATGTTCTGAATTAAGTTTATAATATACGAATAACCTTTCTTTTGAGTAAGTTCCACAACAATATAGTTGTAGGTTTATAACCTACCAGGACGCGCGCCGAGTTGGACTCGTCGACGGTCCTGTATATGGAACAGATATTTTACGAGTATCACCCGTTAACAATATAGCTCCTTGGTACTCATATCACAAGGACACATCAATCTAAGAAATATATTATAAGACAAAGTTCTATAGTTTGGATGCTTACTTTGACTAATATGATTGGGAAGGGTTGACATCGTCAATTAACACAATCTCCTTGTCATACGTTGTATGACCCGCCGCGTACGAGTGTGCGGCTCCCCTGTATCGTAAGCATGATAGTGAAACGACCGTGGGGGTCACGACGTGATACAACAATTTCCAACGTGCCTACTCAGCAATATTATTATTATTATTATATGGCTTAGGGGTTGTTTTTGATTTTAACTCGGCGCGCGTTCTGGTAGGTTGTAAACCTACAACAAAATTTTTGTACCATATTGTTTTCTAAAGACTGTGAGAATTTTCACAGTACCAAGTTTGTTATACCTTTTTAGAATGATCAGTGAGTTTTGCCTAGGTGCCATATTTGATTGTGCGCGGCTTTTGGAGCAAAAGTAGGTGTAAAAGTCGCGTAATTTGACGAAATTCGTTGATTTTTGTTGTATTATTCTGTCATATCTTCGGTTTCTTAAATCATAAATGAGATCATTCTGAAAATTTGTAAACACCTTCCAATAACAAATAAGGCTTCTACAACTGTCCGAAAAATTTGGTGGATATCAAAGTTGATGTAGTGTGTAGCCTGATGAAAATGAGGCAAAATACGCTGCTTTTAGCTGTAACACAATGTTTGATGGTTGGCGGATATACTTTAAATTTGTCGGACAGCTTCTAATTTGTAAGTCTATGAGTAAGCTGACGCTGACCAATTTTTGTTAAAATTGGATCATGAAGGGAAGGTTACTTAATTCGTTTTTGTTCCAAGAATTTTGTACTGGCCGAAATTAGCGCTAAAAAACCATCCTACAGTCGGCACGCGCGGCTCACTGTCGATGGCGCACTACCTAGAGTGCGCACTACTTTAATTCACGATGTCAATCCTTTGCAGCTTGGCGAGGCCTAGTCTAGTCACAAAAGGGGCTAAGTGCAAAGAAACTGTTGCTAACTGCCATGCTCACTGCTGCTCACTGCTAATCACTGCTGCTCAGTGCTCACTGCTACTTGTAGGTTTGGAGCAGCAGTGAGTAGCAGTGAGCAGCAGTGAGCAGCAGTGAGCATGGCAGTTTTTTTTAAAATTAAATACTTTTCAAATTTTACAGAGTACAGCAATAGATGAATATAAAATAGAATCGTTCAAAATATCGCCCCCATCTGTAAAATATGATGGGCACCCAAATGCCAAACACGGTAAACACATAGTGAACTATGTCCGCAGTAACTTGGACCCATAAACGGCCCAGTAGTGCATACATCGCGCTACAACCTAGAATTATAAAACATAATTTATCTCACGTCGCCTTTAAGACATCGTGACTTTCATTACTTATATCGCGTCCGGCGTCATTTCATTCAGTATCGGAGCGAAAGCCACGATACAGCTGCGCACTGATTTTTCACGTCGACGCGAGCTCAGCCAACGATATGAGTCAACTAGCTTGACACACGCACACATTGTATACCCTTTTTCATTACTAAATCAACTCCGATATCCTTGTAGGTTTAAGTTTACAACCTACCAGGACGCGCGCCGAGATGGACTTGTCGACGGTCCTAATATATGGAACAAATGTTTTACGAGTATCACCCGTTAACGATATCCACAAAGTTTTTTCCAAGTTTCTAAAGTCTAATTGGATCAAGGTCGTGACTGAATAAGATTAGGTCGGTCGTGACTTTAAGTTGTGACTTTAGGTCGTAACTTGCTCTATCCAGAGCCCTTGCGCTTGCAGTAGCGCGCGCCCGCCTCACGGCGGTAAAAATGGCTCTAGACATGAACCCACCCAACGATTTTGGCACCACTCTACAGTGGTGCCAAAATTACCCGCGCTTTTGTCCTCATATGCGACGTGTGTAGCCTTTCAGACATTGATTGCGTGAACGAGGTGTCGACCATGCCCAAACCTAATTGATCATTGATTGGGTCTGAGGTCACGTGATTATTATATGAGCCTATGAGGTCACGTGACTATGACGTCACCAGACCTTGTCCTCCGTTTCCCAGACATGCGCTACATAGACGCTGTTGTCAGCACTGCGCACGTGCGCACGAACCTTCCCATCGGGGTTCGTGGATAGGTGCTTTTCTTGACTTGTGAAACGAGCGCGCCCGAAGTGGCGCGAAAGCACATGGTTAGGTGAAGGTCGTAACTTTAGGTCGTGCCCAGAAAACCTTACCGCCTGAGGTGATCATTTTTCAACAGCACGTTTGTCCTCGCGCGTGACGTCAAGTTCGCTTTTTGCACGCTTGATTGAGCCTAGTATATAGTAGTAGGGGGCCGTGCACGGTAAAATAAACTTCCAATCATACTTAACTACCGAGCCTAATTTAGTTTTGAGAGATTGGCTTTGATTAAAAGGTCTAAAAATGACAAAATATGTATAAATTCGTTGATAACTCAAATTCTGACCATCGAAATTGCTCAAACTAATATATATTAGGTAGGTATTGCGCCATCGACAGTGAGCCGCGCGTGCCGACTACTAGGATGGTTTTTAGCGCTTATTTCGGCCAGCAAAATTTTCTCCAAACAAATAGATCATAGATATTGAGTATCCTTCCCAACCTCCGATTGCAACAAAAATTGTTACCTGGGGAACTCCGGCTATCATGTTCATAAACGAATAGAGATTAGGTTCACATAGCCATGTGTATACGCGTACTGCGTGACGCGCTTGTTTCACAAGTTGAATATATATCTTTTGCCGCCTACGGCGGTCGCGCGCTACTGCAAGCGAGAGGGCTCTGGTTAGAGCAAGAGATTAGGCGGAATGACAGGCTGAGCGCGGCCCAGTAACAAAAATTGGTAAGCTTACTCATAGACTTAAGACTTACACATTACAAAAAAAGTGTCCGAAAAATTTAAAGCATATCCAACCATCAAACATTATGTTACGGCTAAAAGCAACGTATTTTGCCCCATTTTGATCACTATATCAACTCCGATATCCACCAAATTTTTCGGACAGTTGTGAAAGCCCTATTAGAAGGTCGTCGCCAATTTTCAGAATGATCTCATTCAAAGAACCGAAGATATATCCAAATAATACGACAAAAATCAACGAATTTGGTCAAATTACGCAACTTTTACAACTAATTTTGCTCCAAAAGCCGCGCACCATCAAATATGGCACCTAGTTGAAACTCACTGATCATCCCAAAAAATATGACAAATTTGGTACTGTGAAAATCCTCACAGTCTCTATTGTAGGTTTACAACCTACCAGGACGCGCGCCGAGTTGGACTCGTCGACGCGGTCCTGGAACAAACATTTTACAAGCTTATCACCCGTTAAACTTAAAGTCTCTAAAAAATAATGGTACAAAAATTTTGAAAATCCGAGCAAGTTTATTTTTATCGTGCACCCCCTAATTTAAGTTCAGTAGAACATAAGTGTTTACGTACGCTGACAAAATTTCAACAAAATTGTTATATGGGAAGTATTATAACTTTTTGAATGTTTACGAAATAATGTGCTGGCCGAAATAAAAGCTAAAAAACCATTCAATGGTCAGCGCGCGCCTCTTACGGTCGATCGCGATGGCGCACTTGGACTGCCTACTAGTACTACTAGTAGTCATGTCGACCACATTAATTTGCAAAGTTAAAAAGCTGCGATCTTTTATTTGGCACAAAATAATATTTTTCGGTTTAATTCTGAATCTAGGTTGTCCCAAATTTTGCTCCTGGGGAACTAACTTGAGATTTACGAGACGAAAATATTGTTGAAAACCGGAAGGTTCTCTTTATTTTACTTTTGGAGATATACCCCACTACCCCAGCCGATAGGGTTTGCTGGGTGAAGCTCTAGGTCGTGACTCTAGATTGTGACTTTAGGTTGTAACTCTAGGTTGTAACTTTAGGTCGTGACTCTAGATCGTGACTCTAGGTCGTGACTTTAGATCGTAACTCTAGGTCGTGACTTGAGGTCGTGACTTGAGGTCATGACTCTAGGTCGTGACTCTAGGTCATGACTCTAGTGCGTGACTTTAGGTCGTGACTCTAGGTCGTGACTCTAAGTCTAGGTCGTGACTCTAGGTCGTGACCAAAATTTAGCTGGATTATTACCGAGCCTTCAATATGACCTTCGACTGACTTCACTTTAAAAGGGTACCGATTTATAATTAAATTATCTTTATTTGTGCAGAATGCAGATTCACATCGATGCGTTTTATATCACATCATGTTAAATGGAGGGTAATAAAAATGATAAGAAATTTTACTGTAATTAGATCCAAGATTGAGACTTAATAGATCGGTTTTTATGTCTTTAGGAATAAATATTGATGGCTGAGCGTTTTGTTATATTCATCTAATCTCTCCTGGATTCTAAAATAAGCTTTCGCAATAATAATGACCAACGTTTTAATTTTAATATTATCAATTTTAAAATATCAATTAGTTAATAATTGTTCTCTTTGCGACATTAGCATTGCGGTGTTTCATTACACTGTTTTCATCACACTGTCTGGAGTCCTAGACAACGAACCCAATTATTGGTAAAATTGCTAGTCTAGTTTTTTTCTGCTGATGCGGTGTATCACCTAACATTTGATTTTGTGTGTTTTGTGTTTTATTTCCAGTGTGTGATAAAATTAATAACACAAAATTTTAACAATTTGAATTATTTCAAGTTGTTTACATCGTATAATGTAAAATGTGTTATCGCAAAATCGTCCAAATCTAAGAAATAAACACCTTCGGATTTTGCTAAATTAGAGGTAGACTAACTTTAGTAGTAATCTACCGATCATCTTCAGGATGAAAAACTCTATAACCTTGTTACAATTACTTCTCATGGCGCTCTGCTTTAATGTGTCTCAATCTCAGTCGGGTTGGTATCATTGTTAATTATTTTCGATTGATTGAAATGATTATTGATATTGTCTTCATTGATAAATTCGATTGTCAGGGAGGAGCCTTTTCTGACGCAAAAACTAACGAACAGTAACAAGTACAGGAACATGCAAGAACCAGAAAATAATGCTGTCTTGAATTACAGCGTTCAGAGAAAGACTTGATGGAGAGATAATATTAACTGATGCTGTTGGATCCAAGAGTGACAACGCCGAGGCAGCTATTGATATGAACTTCAACACTACAACTGTAACGTACCGTGATACATACGGAGAACTATGGCTGAAGCTGTATTTTGAAGAGGTGTCTTGTGTGCAAAATATATACGTGTATTGGGATGGAAAAGCAAATGTGATCTTAAGTTGTCCAGCTGATTCAACTTTATGTCAATGTGATACCAATAAACGTATCTGCGATGAGTACCAGTTTTCTGTGATTTTTGAGAGAAATGTGAATCCAGACGACCAAACTGAGCGCAATTGTACATACGGGGACACTCTTAAGGTGGAAAGTATTGACGAAGCATATTTTAATTTAGAAGCTGAAGAGATTGCTGTTATTAGATATGAAGGTGAGGAAAACTTAATGATATAAATTTTAAAGTGCACTCAATTTTTGCTCTTAGAGATTTCTTACCTCTGGCTACCTGACAGGGTGGAACTGATAAGGGTGATATTCAGTTGCATGACATCCTACTGTAAGCCAATTGTACTGGCATATCATATTAGAGCTTTTAATGTACACCTTTATCTTTAAGCTGCTAAAAAATGTTGATTCATTCTCATTTGATACCAAACTGAACCAACAGTTAGAGATTCTGTGCCGACAGTGCCCAGTAGTATTAAATGGATTCCGTTCACTGCTAAGAACCAAGCTATGGTCTCCACTGACTTCTCCAGCAAAGACGTGGAGCAGTTCTACGTCAGGCTCCCTTGTGAGGAATCTGTTTGGTTTAAACTCTTCCTTAATAGTGACGATGGTCAAAATTCCCACGTTGAGATAAAAAGCAAGGTTTTACCAACTCGTTGTTCATTATTTCTGTTGATAACATTGATTTTATTAAGTTTCGTTTAGCCAGCTGTGTTTGTTTTTTCAACATTGGTTTGGCTCTAATTTGGATCATTTTCCAAGAGTGCTAGTAAATGGGTAAGATTAGTTGCAATCTTCTGCTTTTACAAACCTTACTTCTCTGCAAGGTGGAAGGAAACATTTACTGTAACGGTGCTGGGGATATGAGTTGGTGGGGAGGTGAGATCAATGAGTTCTATATCGACCAACGTGCTATGAAATGTGATTCTACTGAAACCCACATAATCCTTTTGTGAGTAAAAAACCACTCTAACCAATCAGTAATGTACATTTTAAATTTCCATTGTTGATCTAACTCCAAGAGGAATTCAGGAATGAACATAAATGATTTTAACACTTTATAAAACATTTCATTTAGTAAATATGTACATGTTTCGTTTACTTTCCGTATCATTAAATAATCACCGACAAACAGTATGATTATAAATATGTCGCGATATTCTCAGGGTGGAGAAGTCAGTTGACAGAGTTACCATCAAGAGCAAGGGACAGGTTTTGTACCACCAAGCTTTCACTGACAACGACGCGAACTGTCGAGCACCTACAAAAATTGTAAAAACACAAGTTTTCAACTACGAAGGATGGCTGGACCTTGGATTACCCGACACTTCTTCTCCACGTAAGTTTTAGGACATCTGGATTCTGGAGGCGGCAGGAAGGGGTAGGGTGCAATGAGGGGCAGGGAGGGGCAGAGAGGGGTAGGAGGGCAAGGAGGGGTAGGGGCGTTAGGGAGAAGAGGGAGTCGGTGTTACGGATATTTTTAAACAGCTTTCAAAACTTTCAGGATATAACACTCTCCCAGTCCAAACAACTGAAACTGCTAATCCGCCAACTGAAACTGCTAAACCGACAACTGAACCTGCAACAACGACACTGTCAAAAACGACAACACTGCCACCACAAACTACACATACATCACCATGTTGGTATCTTTTTTAATTGTTTGATGTTCCATTTTTAAAGGATGAGGGGACCTTAGAAAAAGTTTTTTTCTCGTGCAAATCCTTTTATTACATTAATCGTATAAACCACTTTAGTAAAATCCGCAAAGTTGTATTTCATTCGCGCGCCGAGATATCCAGCCAAAACAATTTGAACCTGTGACGTCAATTATGTGAGTTGCTCTGATCCGCGCATATAGAAATACAGGTAAAATGAGCGTGCGGGCCGACTAAATTACTAATTAAGAATAAATTAACAATCTACGATACTAACGAGCCTATAACCAATGGAGAGGAGACTTTATATGACCGGTTGAAAAAAGAATTATCACCCTACGATAACCATGAGCCGAGATACACCTGGAATAAGATTGAAGTCACACAGAAAGGCATGTAAATTATGTATATTTATAGCTCCTAACGCGACGTAACACCTAGCAACTCCCTGTTTCGTACCACAGTTGATATATCAACATGTCATATCAACACAACACGGTCCTAATAAAAATGGATCGGGTAGGTATGAAATGCATGTCTTCATTCCAGTTGGACAAGCACCAAGCACCAAGCTTTTAAGTTCTAACTCACTATGTGACACTACTTATAACGTAAGCAAGATTTGCAACTATTACACCAAGCAATATTATACCAAGCATAGCAGACGAACACATCCACATTCGTTACGCTTTACACTCAAGTCACAGCAAACTAAAACGGTAAATTATAAATGAGTGTACAACTAAAGGCCGGTACATGCGCAGTGTCAAACCGCACGTGTGTACTCAGATAGGACTAGAGGCGCCAAGGGCCAGCTAGTAAAATGTCTTCTACTACATCATACATTCTTTTTAATTGTGTCCATATCGGGTTTCAAACAAGTCAAAACAAAATAGCAGTTTGTGGTTTAGTTAGCGGATGCTACTTATCTTTGCTATTTATAAATAGAAATACCTACTACAACTACAAGAAAGCCTTTCTGAGTTACATTTAACTATTATTATTAAAGAGAATTATTCGTAACTTAGACTAATTCAGTGCAACCAAAGATACCGCTCTCGCAAACGCCAAAGGTAACACGACGTAATTAAAACAGAACAGAACAAAATGTTTGTTGACACGAGCAAAAGGTGCGCGCGCACGTTGGTCTTAACACATAAGTGACGTCACAGCCCAAAATTGCTACCAGCCAATAGGAGCGCGGCGTGATATTGCACGAATTATCGATTTCACAGTCCGGCGTATTTTTTGATTCTACACACTTTCACAGGACTTAAACGCGAATATTTGGAAGTAAATTCTAAGGTCCCCTCATCCTTTAAGGGGTTCTTTGTTCTTAAACATGTGTGATCACACACACAGTTATCTCTGAGATAAAAGGGACATTTTGTTATCATGAGTTACCATTTCAGCCCACACAACTGAAGAGCCCACACAACTGAAGAACGGACGAAAGTTTAGACAGCAAGAAAAGCCGGGTGAGTCGGGTGAGCCGGGAGAGGTGGGTGAGCCGGGAGCTCCTGGAGACCAAGGAACGAAGGGAAACCGTGGAGATCAAGGTGACGGAATGTATTGCGATGAATACTGTTTTGAAGGAGAAGCCGGAGAAAGAGGAGAGCCAGGATCTGATGGAGCACAGGGAGAGGAAGGGGATATGGGACCTCCGGGATTAAAAGGGGATGATGGTTTTCCAGGAAATGACGGGGAAAATGGACCTGAAGGTGAATTAGTGAATAAGTGATTTGATTAGTTCAGTTTAATCTACGTAAGCAAATATACAGCTAATTTATCAATATACAACATACGTGTATGGAATTATAAAAGATTGCAATAAAATTGAGTTTGTAAATATGAATGTTAATATCTGTGCAGGTGCCATGGGGGACCCTGGAGACCCAGGAATGCCAGGAACGGACGGAACACCAGGACTCCCAGGGAGCTGTGAAGCAGGAACAAATTCCTGCTATCTTAAGTTAGGACATTGTTATGCAAAGAGCAGCTTTAAGTTGACAGCACAGTGTCGACTAGGGTACGCCGCTACGTCAATCTGGAGAAATTCAAAATTTTGGGGACTGAGATGTTGTAAGATTATTGGGGTTGTTGAGGGTGAAGTGGTTAAAACAGACTGGATGTGAAGCTGCTTTTGAAGTGAAACTTGTGGTGAAACAGACTCTATTACACTCTGAGTTTAAGGCTGTATTTTTACAATTTATAACAAATAGATCTTAAGGCTGAGCGTGAGTTTGAGACGAATTTAGCTTTCATTTTAGACTTCACGTCTCCCGAAATAAAACTGCGAACAAAGTGAAACAAGGAACTAAGTAAACTGTAAAACCAAATTTTCGTCACGCATTGGACTTTATCAAGGTTACACTGAAAAGGGGAGGTTTGATCTCTGAACCAGAGAGTGTGGTAATTGGGTTAGGAAAGTAAACATACATGCGACAAAGATCAGGGTTACCATTTTCAGCAAAATTTATAGAAAAGAGTGTACACATACATGCGAGAGAAATCGGGTTACCAATAAGAAAAATCACAATGTAGAAAAGTTTACAACCCTCAGATCAGCGTAGTAAAAGTGTACTAGAAATTAGTCTGTAAAACCGTTTCCGCACATGTTATTGATTTTCGGTTTAGTGCGTTCTATTGCTAAGCCTTCTCTTATAAAGGTATCTAGGGTATCCTTACATTGTTCTGATATGCTAAATTCGAAGTTTTCGAAGAATTTTGCTAAGTCTCTTTTTCCCGATATGGGAGTGTAGTGTGGGTCGTCTGCTCTGCGGTGTTCAGCAGCGTGGTATCCTAGTGTGGTCCTGCTGTTGTTGAGTCGGAAGCTAGACTCGTGTTCGTAGATTCGACCTCTAATAGGTCGTCTTGAAGCTCCTATGTACAGATCTCCGCATTTCTTACATTTTGCTTTGTACACGTAGTGTCGGGTGGTACAGTTGAGATCTGCCTTGCAGAGTTCGCACTCGCATATCTCGTCTTTAGATGGTGTGCTGATGATGCTCCTGACAGCTTTCCCCGCCTGTGTCACTACTCTGGCGTTTATTCCCAGTTGCTTGATCGATGAGTTGACTCTCCTGGTAAAGCTCTCGTTAATGTACGGTATCTTCAGGATAAGGTCGGGTTCTGGCCGGGGTTCTCGTGGGGTCGAGCTTGTTAGTACTTCTAGTCTCTCTAGAGCTTGTAACATGTGTTTTGTCACGACTTCTTTGGGGTATCCGGAGTTTACGATCAGGTGAGTTTTCAGTTTTTCGAGGTATGCCCAGCTGTCATCCTTGTATTTGCAGTTGTGAACTATCCGCCTAGTCTCCGACCTGATGATGTTTGTTTTGGTGACTAGACTACAGTGTGAGTCGTAATGCAAATATCTTCCAGAAGCCGTAGGTTTTTGGTAGTGAGTGAAGGATATTTCATTGTTCTCTTTTAGCTCAATGGTGAGATCAAGGAAAATGAGCTTTCTATCTTCTTGAAGTTCGCTGGTGAAGTTTACATAGGCCCAAACAGAGTTCAGATTGGCTTTGAATTCCTCGAAGTTTTCGGCGCTTGACTTCCAGAGTAACCAGGCGTCGTCAACGTACGTGGAAAGGCACTCCGGTTTGTGGGAACTCTTTTCTGCTGCTATATTGTAGGTGTAGTCGACGATGATTTCTGCGTATGCGCCTGAACTATTCGAATTTAGCATATCAGAACAATGTAAGGATACCCTAGATACCTTTATAAGAGAAGGCTTAGCAATAGAACGCACTAAACCGAAAATCAATAACATGTGCGGAAACGGTTTTACAGACTAATTTCTAGTACACTTTTACTACGCTGATCTGAGGGTTGTAAACTTTTCTACATTGTGATTTTTCTTATTGGTAACCCGATTTCTCTCGCATGTATGTGTACACTCTTTTCTATAAATTTTGCTGAAAATGGTAACCCTGATCTTTGTCGCATGTATGTTTACTTTCCTAACCCAATTACCACACTCTCTGGTTCAGAGATCAAACCTCCCCTTTTCAGTGTAACCTTGATAAAGTCCAATGCGTGACGAAAATTTGGTTTTACAGTTTACTTAGTTCCTTGTTTCACTTTGTTCGCAGTTTTATTTCGGGAGACGTGAAGTCTAAAATGAAAGCTAAATTCGTACAATTTATAACGCAAAACAAATTGCGTAAAATTTATCTAAAACTGAGAACATGAGCCCCTTTTTTCTTGATCATTGACAAAGGTTTACATTTATTATTTATTAATTGGATATTACAATGGCTCAGACAGACCTTGATATATGTACCGAGCACTTTACAATTGTTATCAAATTTAATCATATTTGTTTATAACTGAGCTCCTTATACAAAGCTTACTAAGTTTTCATTGTGTAGTGTCTACTTTACGTCAGTCTAAGCTAAGTTTTACCATATAATTATATCGAAGTTGCTCATTATGCAGTCATTATAATTTGAATTACGTGTTTCGATAAGAATGAAGTTTCAACGAAAAAGCTTACAGTTCTTTTATAAAAGAACTGTGGATTAGATAATAACCATATAAAATAAAATAAATTTTATTTTATATGGTGATTATCTAATCCATTTTAAATCAAAAGAGTGGAATTTGGCAGGAACATTTAACAGGTAAAGGTTTAAACCCCCTTCTTTATGTTAAGAGACCATATCTACCCTTACAAATATCATTTTATTATCACTAATCCAAACAATGGCTGGCAAGCAACCCTATTAAAATTTCACTAAGATTAGACCCCTACACCACTCTTAGTCTTATATGGCGAGACCACCAAAAAAGTTGATAGCTGTGAAGATGGCCTATACCTTGTATCTCCTCATATTGACAAATCCTGATCCGCCCCTGACCGTCGAAGTGGAAGTGGAACTTCCACCCAAATGATTCCCAGACACTTTAATTAACAGGAGTCCTAGAGACCGCATTCCCCAATGGCCTAATTAAAGCCACCTCCTTATATGGACTTGGAACGTCATTTTGATCGATTTTGTTGATAAATATTTTTTGATGCGATCATAAAAACTGACCATCAAAAACTCAAAAAATCATTATTATCTTCCTCCCTGTGACCAATGACAATGGTCCATGAGCCTTTTTATTAATTGTATATTATAAAACATTTAATGACAGCTGAAACCGTCCTCAATGGGTGCTGAAAGAAATACTTTACTTACTTTACTTTACGTTGTTTAGCTGCAAGGCAGCAGGGTCATCTATGAAAACCACCCTTTTTCTTTAACTTCGGACAACCATGGCCGGCACCAGCACTTACAGGAAACCGAAGGATCGATAACTAAGGCCAGCAACGGTTAAGGTATTATACCACACTTTCTTCGCCCGTGGCTCCGCTGTATTGATCATGTACAGCTCTCCTCATTTAACCCTCACACACGATTTCTCGAGCATTCGGCTGAGTAGACCGGGGGGCTGCATAGTTCAATCGGAACCCTAAGCAGAACGGGAAAGCCGCTCACCCCATGGCTAGTGACACAGGCGAGGAACGAACCCGCAACCTCGTGATTGAGCAGCATATCACGAGTAAGGCAGGTCGACTAACGAACTGCGCCACTATAAGCCATTATAATGTTGACCTACAAGTAGTATTTTCATTTCTCTCTGATAAACAAAAAAGCACACGAACTGGTATATTAAGTGAGACAGTGACAATAGTAAAAGTATGGAATGGAACTGGGAGAGCCTTGCTCACGAGATTTACCGAATTGCTGCTGTTCTATTTGTATTCCTTTCCTTGTAGCGCTTGTTGTTTACCCATTGTTTTATGGAGGATTATGTGATTAAAAGGGGGAAGGAGAAAATCTTTGTGTGTGCGAGTACTTTTCAAGGTGTATAATGACATTGCAACTATATACTATATAGTTGTTTTGTTGTTAGAGGGCGAATACGTAACTGAATGTTGGACTCGATGAAAGCTGTAAAGTATTATGTGCTGCAAGGTATAATAAGTGATAACCATGTTAATCCACTAAGAGAAACCCAGGTTTGAAGGTACTAACGTACTACGAGTATAATTTCACCAATTATAGGGACTGTCAGCTAAAAATGCTATATTAATTATTATCCATGATGCTCCCTCTTAAACGGTAATATTGTCTCTGACAGGCTACTGCTCAATTTATGCGTCTTTAGAGAGGTCTTACCAGTTTACTGCAGTGGTGGTTAGGGGTGAATTTTAGGTTTATAACCGGCTAATAATGGGTTGACAGCCAGATAATAGCAATGTTTTCCCTTAATTACCAGTCTTTAGCTCGATAACACCAATTCAACACTGACACAGCAAGGAGAATAAGTAATGTTATGAAATATAGTAGTAAGAACATTGCTGTAATGGCCTCAATTTACAGCTGAAAATGTTTCTCAAAACAAACATACTTTCTATTGAGCTGTACAAGTGAGCTTTAGTGAAACTTACAAGTTTAAGTAAGTTTAAGTTTGCTTATAATAATGCTCGCTTTATCCGCAATCCAAAATTTTCCGACCAAGCTAATCAACCCTTTCAAATCCGTGGTTCTAGACGACGGGTTTTCAAGGTTTAATCGAATTTATTTGTTTTTCATCTGCCTTCTTGCTGGTGCGTTCATCAACCTTGCTGATTATTCAGGTTTGTTCATTTGTCTCTTTGAAGCAATGACACATAGCACCATGACGTACACAACTATTTAATACCTGCAAATAACTTGGTAGTATTTGTGATATAGTTGTATATTACTTAAGTAAATACACCAATTATAACTGTAATTGTAATTCGGCAGTGGAATAACGGACTTAACTTGGATGGACCAGACTTTATTTGAACGGACATTAAGATAAACGTTAGGGCCTCCAGCGTTCAATCAATGTTCTTTCGCAAATAAAGTCCGATATAAAGTATAACTCAGCCAGTAAAATATACACTAACAGTTTAATAGTAATAGCTACTGAATCATTGATATAACCTACCCGCAGGTCACAAGGTAAAGTGCCACGGTTTTCAAATCTTCCCAGAGAACTTTGCTGACGAGTACTGCTGGGTACAGGTAATCACACGTTTTATATCGAAACCACTATATATTATATTTATCGCCATTCGATTAGATTTTTGACCGGGGAAATCCTGAAATAATAGCAAAATATTGATTTTTTTGGACCGAAAATCGGGTTTTCGTGATTTCAGCCGGGGTAACTTAGTCAATAATTTCAGGGTATGTACGTGATAAAGAATGCCGGGGTAACTTAGTCAATAATTTCAGGGTATGTACGTGATAAAGGAAGCCGGGGTAACTTAGTCAATAATTTCAGGGTATGTACGTGATAAAGGAAGCCGGGGTAACTTAGTCAATAATTTCAGGGTATGTACGTGATAAAGGAAGCCGGGGTAACTTAGTCAATAATTTCAGGGTATGTACGTGATAAAGGAAGCCGGGGTAACTTAGTCAATAATTTCAGGGTATGTACGTGATAAAGGAAGCCGGGGTAACTTAGTCAATAATTTCAGGGTATGTACGTGATAAAGAAAGCCGGGGTAACTTAGTCAATAATTTCAGGGTATGTACGTGATAAAGAAAGCCGGGGTAACTTAGTCAATAATTTCAGGGTATGTACGTGATAAAGAATGCCGGGGTAACTTAGTCAATAATTTCAGGGTATGTACGTGATAAAGGAAGCCGGGGTAACTTAGTCAATAATTTCAGGGTATGTACGTGATAAAGGAAGCCGGGGTAACTTAGTCAATAATTTCAGGGTATGTACGTGATAAAGGAAGCCGGGGTAACTTAGTCAATAATTTCAGGGTATGTACGTGATAAAGAAAGCCGGGGTAACTTAGTCAATAATTTCAGGGTATGTACGTGATAAAGGAAGCCGGGGTAACTTAGTCAATAATTTCAGGGTATGTACGTGATAAAGGATAACTTAGTCAATAATTTCAGGGTATGTACGTGATAAAGGAAGCGTTTGATCTCCCTCAAGATATACCGTATCCTGGGGTTGTACCAGAGAACCTCCCTTGTCTTGATTTCTTGTGAGTTTGTTCAAGTTTAAAATGTCCATATGCGTGATTTGTTGTTTGATAATTCATGAGTTCACGTTTGGATTAAGTGTATTCAGAATAAAATGTTCTTGAAAGAATTATCAAATGAGACTAAATAACAGTAAAGAAGACTGAGTAACAGTACACCACTAAGTAACCAAGTTATCCTCCAATAAAATCATCACTCCCCCAGAAGAACGGACAATACTGCGTACAAATGTCCAGAGGGGGGATCTAAACCTTTAACCAAGGTTAAGTTGCTCTGGTACCAGGTTTGTGAGTTTGTTTGTTTGTTTGTTTGCTTGTATCTTTGTCATTTTCGTTGTCTACTTGTTTGTTTGTTGATTTGTCTGTTTTTCTGTAAAACAATACTACAATATGAAATAATCGGTTTATTATTTTCCTGATGCTGCCCCATATTTTTACCTTACCATAATCTTTCAGTGGATCCCCCTCTACTTCTTCTTGTGCGCAGCCGTGTTTGTTCTACCTTACATCATCTACCAACAATCTGAAATAGGAGCCATCAAACCGATATGTGAGCAACCTATTGTATTACATTTATCGAGTTATAGTTTCAAAATTTAACGTAAACTCTGCATTTTTAATTCAAATTGATGGAGTACAGGTGAGCAGGTGATTGTAGCAAACAATCGATTTATGTGATTTCTCTTGGAGAATTTCTCTTTAGACTCTTAACTTGCGAACAAATTGAAGCAGCAAACTTCAGGCTAGAAACTTTATTGAATTGAAATAATCATTCCACGTAACAACGTCTTCTTCAGTTCTGTAACAAAATTGTTAAACATGTGTAAAAATTAACGACGGAAAGAAATTTAAAATAACATTAAAACAAAAACAGAGAAATAAAATTTACGAAATATGACCCAAAAATGTAATTGCAAAAAATGTCAAAACAACAAAAAATACGACAAGAAGAAATGTAAGCTAATATAACTAAATACTGTACTACTCATGTTACTAAACTAATTAGTAAACGTAAAACTGGTTGTTCAGAATTCACAGTTCATGTGTAAAAACTAATGATAAAATCAGCACTTAAGCAACGATAACTCGGTTGTCATGGTTACTATCCAAGATCCTATCAATACATTATTTACTAGTTAAACATCGACTAAATATTTGTACAAATAACTCAACTCAGAACGATCATTCATTTCAGGACTTAATCTCAATATATACATCGCTTCTACAATCTTTCTACGAACAGTTTTACTCTGTAAATCAAGTAACTTAAAAGATAAAACTGGGGTTCGGTTAGGATGTAGAGATGCGTAGTGCTGTCCAACCCCATTCTCTGGATGTGCTCTAGGATTCCTAGCAGCCTGTCTGTGCTCCATCAGACGAGCATGGAGGCTTCTCTCAGTTTCCCCACAGTGTCTCTTACCACATAACTCGCAAGTAACTAAGTAAATAGCTCCTTTTGTTGAGCATGTTGTTCCTGTGAGTCTAGGGCAGATCTCACAATTGTTAGGGTTACCAAGGTCACAAGTCTTCTTATCCAGTGGACGAGAGCGGCAGAAGATGTCCTGTAACTTCTTACCAGGTGTAAAAATAACTCTGATGGGGAGTTTGTTAGATTTGATGTAGTTGCGAATCTTATTACAAACTGTTCCAGAGATGAATGGTAAGGTGAGTGGGACAGAGTCAGGTGTGGTTTGACGTCTTCTCCTAGTCCTCCTGTTCCTTGCGTTATGACTCAGAGGTTGGTGTCCATGTTTCTTTAAGAGATCATCGATGATCTTAACTGAATGATCGAGTTCCTGGGGTCCTGAGGAAGCAATGGTGGCATTACGGTAGAAGTTCTTCTTACACTCCTCCTTCACTGAGTCCGGGTGGTGTGACTTCTGGTGTAATGTTATCCCCTTGTTCTGGGTTTTCCTGTAGAATCTGTGGTGCACTTTTCCTTCCTCATCGATCCGGATTTCCGTACTCAGGAACGGGACAAAATCCGCAGGGGTAGACGGGAACTCGATCTCCCACTTGATTCTGTTATCGGGATCCTGGTCGGCTATGCGTTGTAACATATCCAGTGCTTCTTCTCTGGATTTGGCTAAGGAACCAGCATCATCTACATACCGTTTGTATAAGAACCGAACAGGGTTACTGATGTAATAACTGTCTAAATATATACTATTACGCTCGAATTTCCACATTCTAATAATCGCTACAGGAGGGGATGGTCTACAACCCATGAATAAACCTAAAAGTTGTTTATAAAGTCTCCCATTAAATGTAAAATAAGAATTCGTCAAAACTACTGTAAAGATACCTCTAATTTCTGATAAACTTAAACAATACGTACTTAACTTACTCCAATGTTCTTCTGCAAATTCAATAACTGTCTCAATACACTCATTGATATTCAAATTCGTATACAAAGCTGATACATCCGCTGTAAAGAACTGTAAACCTTTAAGTTCACTCTCTGGTAGCCTTCTTGTCGTATTTTTTGTTGTTTTGACATTTTTTGCAATTACATTTTTGGGTCATATTTCGTAAATTTTATTTCTCTGTTTTTGTTTTAATGTTATTTTAAATTTCTTTCCGTCGTTAATTTTTACACATGTTTAACAATTTTATTACAGAACTGAAGAAGACGTTGTTACGTGGAATGATTAATGATTATTTCAATTCAATAAAGTTTCTAGCCTAAAGTTTGCTGCTTCAATTTGTTCGCAAGTTAAGAGTCTAAAGAGAAATTCTCCAAGAGAAATCAAGTTCAAATGCGACTCATAAATATAGCCCCCTTGAACTAATCGATTTATGTATTACGAGATATTAATTATTATAATAATTAATTATAATAATTCAGGTAAATTATTAGCAAGCTCCATGGATGATGATGAGGAAGAGAAGATAAAAATTGACAGAGCTAGTTTGTGGCTTTCAAAGAGGATGACGGGATATATCAAAGCTAAAGGTCCTATAGAGTTTTTATTCGTGAAACACAGGTATAAATCGCCCTCACACTTTCAAGATCGCCGAATATAATGTTTCCTTTGATGTTTTTCCTCTCCCGAATTCCAGCAGACGTGGTATTGAAACAATAAAAAGATAAGGTGGCCGAAAAAATTTCAGTATGGAAACTGGATGATTGGATGACATGTATAATGATCGGAGACTACCTATACCTTATCGGACTTTATTTGAACGGACATTATGATTAATTGGACGCTGGCATTGTAATGTCCGTTTAAATAAAGTCTGACAAGGTAGTTAAATTAAACATATTGAATGAATAGAATGCCTTCGAGCGATTATTCAAATATCCGCTCAAAACCATTTCCGTTCACGCAATGTCCGGTAAAATAACGTCCGATAAGGTATGTTGAAGATCGATAACAAATTGATTCATTCAATCTAACAGCAGTTAAAATGTCCAGGATGTTTGCTGAGGTGGTGTTTAACAAAGTCTTAAACTTGGTGGTAGTCATTCTGGTCCTGTACGGAACAAACAAGGTTTTCAGAAAATAATAATTTCTAAGTTGATATATATCAATTAATCATCACATTTCGTCGATCGTGATTATCATAATTAAGTAATCATATCTTTATATTATTATCTTTACCTCATTTTATATTGTTTCCTCACACATGCACGCAAACACACCTATAATTATATAAAATCTATTTCTCTCTCAGATATTCCAGGTGTCCTCCTTTGCTTCATACGGGGTTGACTGGATAAGGTACATGTCATCAACTGATAACACAGGTCAGGATATATTATTGGTATCTTTTTAAACCTATTTTCACCTTATTATCCTTGCATTTTGGGTGCCAGGCTATCCTGAAAATGCCCGTAAGAGCTTCGATCTACTATAAACCTTATCGGACGTTATTTGACCGGACATTTTGTGAACGGACATAATTTTGAACGGACATTATAATGAACACTCAAAGGCATTCATTTAATATATTTAATTTAACTGCCTTGTCGGACTTTATTTGAACGGACATTAAAATGAACGCTAGGGCCTCCAGCGTCCAATTAATGTCCGTTCAAATAAAGTCCAATAAGGTGTTCATAATTTGATCTACTTGATTTTGATTTGATTTAAAACTTTTACAAATAGTACATATACAATACAGCAAAGAGAATTTAAAATAAACGACGTCATGGGGTATTATGCTGTGTAAAAGTCGTAGACCATATTGTAGAAATACTAAAAGCATGGGTAAGTGGTACAAGTTCTGGGGATATACGTATTACAGGTAATATTTCTACCCCCAGACTCACTAACACCACCTCCATCTAAACACACAAAATTAATCTAGAACACACAAAAATAGAATTGTCAAAATAAATAATATAATGATAGACAATGTCACCACGATGCGACCAGAGATATGGCAGCAATGAGAAATAATGCATAATTGCACTTCGTATGGTAATACTTCTAAAGTTAATTTAAATAAACAACTTATAGGGTGGTTCAAAACTTAACCCAAAGTTGCTCAAATCTTTCTGAATCAAAGCTTTAAAACTAGTTTATCCATATAATATATATAACACAGGTGTGGATAGTCCGCAAGATAAGCTGTTTCCTAAAATGGCGTCCTGCGAGGTGGAGGTCTGGGGAACTACTGGCATTGTCAACGAAGCAGGTTTACGTAAATCCGGATTGGAATATTGTTTATGAGTCGCATGGTTACAATATATTCTTGTGTAAATTTGTATTGATCCCGTTTGATGCGGTAAGGAAAAATGCTCTTATCAGGAAACGTTGAGTAATTCCTTTCCTGATAAGAGCATTTTTCCTTGTCGAATCAAACGGTATCAATACAAATTTACACAAGAATACGAATCAGGTTTACTTTTAGTAGTAAGCGGAGACAATACATGAAATCGAGTCCTGATTGTATGTATTTAGGCAGAGAAAAATCAATCATTACTCAATACAAAATATATCCTTGTGTTTAAACATACTCACTATACCAGGGATGTGTGTGCTGGCCCCGAATGTAATAATCTCCTACTTCTTTCTGATATTCTGGTTCCTCCTCTACATCTCCCTCATTGGAAACGCTGTATCCCTCTTTTTCTCTACCTCCACTTACTTCTTTACTGCCGGTCTGTGAAAATCAGCTATATTTTTAATTGTTATGGTCACAAAGCAAATGTTTGGTGATGATCTATTGGTTTGTCCAAACAATTTCTTTGTTGAACGAATTCGCCGATAATATTTTCCCCAAAACTGTAATCTATCTGCACCCCGGTAACGATATGATTGTCACCGTGGTCTCCAGATATAGAAAACCGAGTTTCTGGTATTTAGTGTATGCTAGTCAAGCTCTAGTCAGGTAACACGAACGGCAGGGCGTACCGTATGGTAGAAATGAAACGAATAAATTGAAATGGAGAAATAATTAAAAAGATAAGTAATACAAAGTGAACGTCAACATATAAAGCTTCTAATCCAAACGATTGACGTGAATATAGATCACTCGACGTGTCTAATCACAAAAGATAGTGCTCAGTCAGACTGGCTATCGTCAATTCGAATCCCTTAAAATGATTAAGGGGCAACATAGAAGTGAGCTCTCCACTTCCGGCTCTCCGGGTATACTCTCAAAACTCCTCACGCCATACTGCGTGACGGCACAACGCATCTGCTTGCACCACGTGACACGCTGTCTCGCCAATGTGCACTCCACTAGCAGTCACCCTGCGGCCGCGAGGACCAACCACAGGCTTGGCTATAGATATCTGTAATAGAACATACCACTATTTCCAAAAATTGAAACGCTGTACCGTAGCACACAACACAAAAAGTAAAACTACTGGTAAAGCGTCCTCAGAAAAAGAAAACCCTATATTTACCTAGCCTTGATGAGGCCTGCTTCGCGATTGCTATTCAGCGATGTGTGCTCCACAAGTCAACACATACCTGAGTTACAATCACGGTTGCAGTTTTATAACTCACAATTAAAATTTCCTCGTTATCGGCCGAAATCAACAAATACACGCATCAGCTATAAATATGATCCATACACACATTTAAATCAAAGTAATTATATAGATATAAAAAACACTGGATGTTACACCTTAATCTTATCTGCACTGAAAATCTTGCCGTCTCTAATATAATGATACTTTGTTGGCTGAGCAATGATCATTTCCTTTACTTTGACAACAAGTTTCTGATGAGCTGCTCTCTCCTCCTTGTTTCTGTCAGGTGTGATGTACCATGTGTGGTACGCTGTACATTTAGATTTCTTCAGATTTCTTGCTCGACCAAGAACCATTTTTACTGATTCCGCACAAGCCAATGTCACTTTTATCGGTCTCGGTTTACCACTGCCTGAAGTTTTTTTAGTCCCGATCGAATTTGCTGCCACAACTTTAGGATCACATCCTGATAATTCCCAAATCAATTCAATCACTTCTTCTGCCACTAAGTGTGTATCAGGGGAGTAATTCTCCGGTTATACACCGTAGATAATGAAATTCTTACTACGGATGACATCTTACAGCTGTCTTTATACTGTTGATCGACGGAGTACTTGTAGATGTCTCGCAGTTCTTCTTCACGATGTCGCTCCACGCTGTTTTCATCTCGGTATGAACAGTTGTTTTAAAAGAGTCGAGTTGCTCCTGTTGCTGTTTGATCTGGTCTTTCTAATAGTTAAGCTGATCTGATTTAAGTTTGTCTATCGTACTGGCCGTACTTTTACATAATTCAAGATTACTAATCATCAGCTTAGAAAGATTCTCAACTGCAGTAGCCAACGGATCTTTATTTACGGCCATTAATCTCGAATGGTTCAGTTCTGTAACGCTTTGTGCTTTTGACATCTTCAAAATCTCATTCATCGCTGACGATAACTCATTTTCAAATCTGTTCAGATGTTCGACGGAAAAATCCATTTTACAAAAGGTAAGGCGTACAGCACGACGTGTCGGTGTAACAGCAAGTTGAGATAACACTACCGATAACAGAGCAATTAAAGTGTTGCAATAGCTAGAATAAAAGATTGTAACTGAGAATAAAAGATTGTAACTCTCGTCGGAAACACATACTAAATTCTATGTCCCTTAAAGGACTAAAGGTGCACACCGCGAATTTTGCAACTTTGGCTAAAATAGTAATAGGGCGTGAAACAGAAACATTGTGATTTGTTTCGCAGCGTTGGTCTAATTACATCACCCTCAAATTAGCGATCAAAGTTTTCGCTTCCTAGAGAGATGCAGCGTCTTAGGAAATCAAGGAATGTAAACAGTGTGGATTGTGGCTTGAACATTGCTAATTTTCTGAATTGTTTTGTGACCTGCTGGTTTCCGATCTTATCGGCCAAAACAAAGGCTGTGTTTCTTCGATATTTTAATAGATGGAATAAATTTGTACACAAATTCTACGCGTTTTATGTGCAAAACTACCCTGACTGTAAAATCATTATATATTATCCATTGAATTACTAAATCCAGCGTATTTTCCACTAGAGGTCACTCTAACAAATAAAACAAAACTATTCCAATCAAAATCTAGATCGGTCAAGCAAGGTTGACTTTTTTGGAATTTTTAGTCCCGTGATATTCTTAGGAATTGTTCTTTTCACGTACTGACTTTCCTTGAGCATGGTGGCTATACTGCGGGGCTCTTTTCCCTCTCCAACATAGTCCCACATTCCTTGCAAGATATCCTTTCTGTAAGAGTAGTCCTTGTTGATGACTCTGCTTTTGCTTACATATTTCTTTTGGCTCTTAGAATAGGACCAAAATTCTTTTCTGTTGCTGGTTAAGTTCTTATTGATTTCTATAGCAATAACCATAGAGCCCACTACTATTCTGTTTAGGGAATAGGGAGTCCGTTTAGGCAAGAGCTTTAGTCTCACATTGTGATAAACTTCCAAAGCCCCTGTGTGTAGAAAGTTACAACACAACTGGATGGAACTTATGAAGCGGGTGCTGGTGAAGTACTTGAATAAAGAGGTGAATCCTTCACTTTCTATTTCAAACCACTTTAGCCCCTTTAGCGTCCTGTGTTTTACCCTTGAAGAGTGATCGCAGTGCTTCACTTTATGAAAGTAAGGATATAGCTTTTCAGAGGTCAAAACAATTTGCTTCTTTCTTTTTTCATTCCGTTCTTTCTGCAGTTGTAGTTTTAGAGGCTCGAAGGGATCGGCTGTCCAGGCGTGATGGTTATGTGCAGTAAAGTCGAATGAACCCTTTCCACTAACTCTTTCGGGTCCCCTGCACATTTCTTACAGCTATACCAGAAATGATTGACGATAGGGGCAACAAACTCCGACAGCTTCGGTAGTTTTTTAGACATTTCCATGAGCTTTCTTTTCACCAGCCTCGCTTTGTGCCAAATATCATAGTTGTGAGTAATACTGGTAAAGAAGGTCCTCATCAGCTTTGCAATCCTCGTATTCTCATCGGTCACGAAGTGTCGGACTTTCAGCCCTTGGCTAACAAGGTTGAGTAGGACTTCCTTGCACGCAAACGTTTCCAGGTCGCCTCTGTACATTCCCTTTTGGGCGACGAAAAGGTCAAGAATTGCACCTGTCTTGATATCTAGAATGCTATAAGTGCAAAACTTCGCACACCAACCGGGCGAGTCGAAGTGCCCATCTCCTGCGATGTCAACGTGTTCCAACCCACTGCGACTCTCTAGCAAAGCTGTCCTCATAGACGTCCATTGGTCGACGATTATAGGGTATAGATTGGTCGTGTTGTTTTTATAGAAACTTGAGCATGTTATGTATGGAACAGATAAACAAGTCATGAACGATTCTAAAACACTATAACTCATCCCGCACAAAAAAGCTGCAGCAGAAACTACAAGGTTGCACTCATACTTTTTCTGTCTCAGGCGTGAGCTTCTCCAGACTCCTTCGTGAGGCAGAATACCATAACACCTGTAATTGACCACTATGCCAAATCCAGCACAGTTTATCCTCTTGATGACTGACCGGGCTCCGCATTCGGGACAGAATTTAAATAGGGATAGTAGTTAGGGCACGCTTATAATGGCCCAACAAGCGTTTGTTGTGAATGATTCTACGCTTTCATCAATAACTGGCTCATCATCGTCCGTGAGGTCATCCAGTTCAAGATCATCCAGCTCTATAAAGTCACCTTCTTCGGAAAATGAAGAGTTGATATCTTCATTATGTAAACCCGTGTCAAAGTCATCATCATCATCTTCATCAGTAGGTTGGCTATCTTCACTGTCAGTTTCTGAGAAGTAAAGCTCGTCGATCTCCCAAAAAGAATCAGGTTCAATGTTAGAACAGGATTCGTTGGTTGTATCCTGCGCAATATCTATGCCATCAGTTGACCCTGCCGGTTGCATTTCAACTAATCTTTCTTTAGGGGGTGGTCGTTTTGACATTGTTTTGACTAGGGGGTTGGCGAAACTACCAGTTCTTCGATCTGTATTTGGTACACTATCGACTTTCAAGCGAATCAATGTGCGAGTTTCAGGATTGGCTCGAGCATGATATCGTTCCAAATCACCCTCTTGAAAGTCATCCAGGAAAAAGTGATCAGTACAAACTCTTGTACTAAGGCTGGGTTGCCATGATCGTGAATCTCTATTCATCCTCACAACCCATTTTTGCTTTAAAGCTTGATTTGTGGGTAGTCTGATGTATCTTAGAAATCCTCTTCCACTGTGATCACTTACTTTCTTTCGGCTACTACGATTCGAGCAAGCACCCACAGCACAAAATGATCCTCCTGGTTTCCGCTTCTTCGAAGGTGGTTGTTCAGCCATTCAGCTACTTTATTTCTGTAACATCGTTCGAGTATTGAAGAATGTATTGAAGAATGTGACTAAGAACACTAAAATAACTCGTGATATTATAACTTGTAACTAGTGATAAGAGATGGCAAAGTTAAATAACTAATCGTGTTAACAATAACAAACTACTAGTGCTCAGTATTACCGGTTAAAACGAATGTGTCATGATTGCGTGTAAGAGACAAACGTGGCATTGCAAATGTAAACAACGTAATAGTGAGAGGAGAGTAAAGAGAGAGAGTGATAGTACGCTGCATCTCTCGAGCGACCCTAATTTTGGTGGCCAATTTAGAGGACGACACCCTAACTTGTGTGTCCCTAAATTTTGCGGAAGTTAATATATTCGCTTGACTATCAGATTGAGTTGAAAAACAAAAATGTTAAAATTTTTTCCCTATCTCGGTGTGCACGTTATAGTTATAGTAAACTAAGATATCCTAAAAGATATCTCTAAATACCATATTACAACATCTCTACCCAAAAATTTTTCGAATATTTTAAAACAATAAAATAATCGCCCTTTTCAAAATTTAAATTTCAATGCTTCCACGCATCAAAAGTCCAAAACTTAAAAATAGTCAAGCCTCAAAGACAAAATATAATACACGGCCCTAACCCTGTGCATTAAATTTAAATCCTCAAAATACTAAAATTATGAATTAAAACTAAAATTGACTTCCACAAATCTTTCAAAACTTTCCAATACTTCCTTTTCGCACCAAGTTGAAAAGTCTTTGGTTTTGAGTCTTCATCATTAGATAGAGATGTATTTGAATCTCTAAATCGCCCTTGACAAGCAACCAAAGAAGTCAAACTAAATACGAAAGTTTCTAAGTTTCCGTCACTAAAGGCGTAAAGCAGCCCTGAGCGAGTCGTGTTACGTGACTAGAGCTTTGACTAGCATACACTAAATACCAGAAACTCGGTTTTCTATATCTGGAAGCCACGATGGCAAAACTAATACTTCAAATTAAGAAATTAGAAATAAGAAATCGTGCCACTGATTATCATTCAATCAATCTCGAGTACTCGAGTAATAATACGTCTTATCGCTCCCCAGCACGATGGAGAGCATTTGTAACCTCAACGTTTATGGTCACAACTAATGAGGGGAAATGGCTCTTCATGAACTCAGGTATTTTATTTTAATTTTACTTGAGAAAAGACAATTTTTGTTGAGAAAAGACAATTTTATTATTTATCACCAATTCATTACACGGTCAATCAATAAATATGTATTCGAATAAATAATAACCAACTAAATTTTAACGCTAGATGGTAACATCAAACATACAGTTATAAATGTACTTGAGTGCAAAGTAAATGAGAAACTTGTTATTCACATTCCTTTTTAGACTAGAGAGTTTCTCTGACAGGGTGCCGCGTTTTATTATAGTTTTAATTCTCCTTCCATGCTGCATGATTTACAACTTTAAACTATTAATTTTAGAATAACAATAATTATTAAAATTATTGTTTCATTAAAATAATTGTTTTATTAAATTAACTGTTCTATCAAAATAATAGTTCTATTAAACAAATTGATTCATTAAATTAATAGTTTAATCATTGTACTCCCCTGCAGGTATGAGCGGACAGATAACATTAGAACTGCTTGCTAGTAACATTCCCCACCACACATTTGAGAATCTGTTTAAAAGGGTTTGTGAGACAGTGGTGTTGGTACAAAACCAGGAGGTACTGGACCAAGTCTACAAAAGAAAAAGTTACAAGAAGAGTGAGAAGGCAACCTTTAGAGCTTGACCCAGGACTGCTTCTTGAAGGCAACCTCTAGAGCTTGACCCAGGACTGCTTTTTGAAGGCAACCTCTAGAGCTTGACCCAGGACTGCTTCTTGAAGGCAACCTCTAGAGCTTGACCCAGGACTGCTTCTTGAAGGCAACCTCTAGAGCTTGACCCAGGACTGCTTCTTGAAGGCAACCTCTAGAGCTTGACCCAGGACTGCTTCTTGAAGGCAACCTCTAGAGCTTGACCCAGGACTGCTTCTTGAAGGCAACCTCTAGAGCTTGACCCAGGACTGCTTCTTGAAGGCAACCTCTAGAGCTTGACCCAGGACTGCTTCTTGAAGGCAACCTCTAGAGCTTGACCCAGGACTGCTTCTTGAAGGCAACCTCTAGAGCTTGACCCAGGACTGCTTCTTGAAGGCAACCTCTAGAGCTTGACCCAGGACTGCTTCTTGAAGGCAACCTCTAGAGCTTGACCCAGGACTGCTTCTTGAAGGCAACCTCTAGAGCTTGACCCAGGACTGCTTCTTGAGGGCAACCTCTAGAGCTTGACCCAGGACTGCTTCTTGAAGGCAACCTCTAGAGCTTGACCCAGGACTGCTGCTTGAAGGCAACCTCTAGAGCTTAACCCAGGACTGCTTCTTGAAGGCAACCTCTAGAGCTTAACCCAGGACTGCTTCTTGAAGGCAACCTCTAGAGCTTGACCCAGGACTGCTCCTTGAAGGCAACCTCTAGAGCTTGACCCAGGACTGCTTCTTGAAGACAACCTCTAGAGCTTGACCCAGGACTGCTTCTTGAAGGCAACCTCTAGAGCTTAACCCAGGACTGCTTCTTGAAGGCAACCTCTAGAGCTTGACCCAGGACTGCTTCTTGAAGGCAACCTCTAGAGCTTGACCCAGGACTGCTTCTTGAAGGCAACCTCTAGAGCTTAACCCAGGACTGCTTCTTGAAGGCAACCTCTAGAGCTTGACCCAGGACTGCTTCTTGAAGGCAACCTCTAGAGCTTGACCCAGGACTGCTTCTTGAAGGCAACCTCTAGAGCTTAACCCAGGACTGCTTCTTGAAGGCAACCTCTAGAGCTTGACCCAGGACTGCTTCTTGAAGGCAACCTCTAGAGCTTGACCCAGGACTGCTTCTTGAAGGCAACCTCTAGAGCTTGACCCAGGACTGCTTCTTGAAGGCAACCTCTAGAGCTTGACCCAGGACTGCTTCTTGAAGGCAACCTCTAGAGCTTCACCCAGGACTGCTTCTTGAAAGCAACCTCTAGAGCTTGACCCAGGACTGCTTCTTGAAGGCAACCTCTAGAGCTTCACCCAGGACTGCTGCTTGAAGGCAACCTCTAGAGCTTGACCCAGGACTGCTGCTTGAAGGCAACCTCTAGAGCTTAACCCAGGACTGCTGCTTGAAGGCAACCTCTAGAGCTTGACCCAGGACTGCTGCTTGAAGGCAACCTCTAGAGCTTGACCCAGGACTGCTGCTTGAAGGCAACCTCTAGAGCTTGACCCAGGACTGCTTCTTGAAGGCAATCTCTAGAGCTTGACCCAGGACTGCTTCTTGATGTTGTCTAGTGTGGGTTTCTTTTTTGTTTTAGGACACTTTGTAACATTGTGAGAAATAACATTAGGTACTCATATTCAAAGCTTGTGTTTTTTCCGTAAATTGGGCTGATATCATCATAAATACATCAAAACCTGTTGAAGTACAAATATTAAAAATATTCTCGATTATTTATTGTTTTATGTGATCTGCAGATTATGGTATTTAAAAATCTTTTCTTCTTGTCCCGAGTTTTGTTAATTGTTTGCTTCGTACCAAAACAGAACACAACGAAAATATAATCTTTCAGCACTCAGCGAATTCATCAATTACTGACCTGCTCAAAAACCGTGTTCTCTTATTAAAACTTGGTTTCTCGTTAACTAATGAAGCCACATGTATGCTTGCTCTGCAGTGTTTAGCTGATTTGATTTAAGAACAATTCGTGTTAGCATTAGAAATGTCCAATTAGCTCTATCACTTGTAAAGTTGAAAGATTGTACTGTAGACTGTGGAAAACGACTTTACACTAGACTAGTTTTTCGTTGTTTAACAGTAGTGGTTAACTGCACTGTAGTGGTTTGTTGCACTGGTGACGAAGCGTGAGCTTTATAATCAACTGCCGAGAAGTTGTCTACCACAGATCCAAATAGAAATAGGGCAGACAGCTCCTCTACTAATACTGTGTTAATTAAATTTTAATGAGCAAAGGAATTTGTTGGAATCGTTACCTACTACACATAACTACAAAACTAAACACCCTTACAGTGTGCAGACGATGTAAGCAGCTGTTTTCTACAAATACTGCGTTAATTCTACGTTTTTTAAATAAAGTGAGTGTTTTTCAGTTTTTGTGATTTATTCATGTGTTCACATTTTCAGAAGTGCAGGTATTTCAAGGTAAGAAGGTAATAGATTCATGAATAAATTGTGGAAATCTCTGACATCCAACATCACACATTTATGATTTTAGCAAAGAAATGAAATCATAAATATGTTTTGTCAATTATCACTTAATTAAACTAAAACATTCGGAGGCGTCCAAAAATAATTAGTGACCATAAATAATCCTTAAAATAAATAAAATGGAAATTATACGAATTTCATGGGTCGTTTATTTAACCACCCTATGGGGTACCTACAGCCGCAGGTTCAAAATCTTAATTATTCAAATTATTCCGTACACTGCACCGAAAGGGGGATTTATTTTAATTTTATCACATCAGGTGTTATTAGGTTTTCATGTATATTTCTTAGAACCGCATCTGAGTCATCAAGTTATACGCATTGTCAATGTTTAGTATCCTTGTAAACCTCTTTTAGGCGTTCCTGACTTGTTTTTGACGAAATGTTCGATTACATACTGTCATCTTAATAATTAAAACCTTATTAATTAAAATTTGTGATGATGTTTGGATCACTTGTCTAAATTAAACTATGTGTAAAAATAGAAATTACGAATTCTCTCAATCTACAACTAATTTCGTAACTTTAAACTTTCATAATCATCTATAGATGCAGTATGGTAGGTGCAGTATGGTAATTGGTAGCTGCAGTATGGTAGCTGCAGTATGGTAGCTGCAGTATGGTAGCTGCAGTATGGTAGCTGCAGTATGGTAGCTGCAGTATGGTAGCTGCAGTATGGTAGCTGCAGTAAGTATAGCTGCAGTAAGTATAGCTGCAGTATGGTAGCTGCAGTATGGTAGCTGCAGTATGGTAGCTGCAGTATGGTAGCTGCAGTATGGTAGCTGCAGTATGGTAGCTGCAGTATGGTAGCTGCAGTATGGTAGCTGCAGTATGGTACATCGATTTTAGGAGTCAGTAACCAGGAAAAGGTTATTCAACTTCATACGACACTTATACACACACACACACTCTCTGACAATCAAATCAAATCACAACCAAAACAACACATTTGTTGATGAAGGAGCAAAACAATTTGCTTGTTGCTCCCAACCTCTCCATTAATACCATTATACAGCAACATGCCCTCACCAACATGCCTTCAACAACATGCCCTCAGTTTATTATATTAAACTGCTTGATATCTGGTGTTAGTCTGTACCAGCCGGTAGTTAGTGGTAGTTGGTGGTAGTTGGTGGTACTTACTGCTCGTGACTGGTCGTGCCTGGTGCTCGAGACGAGTGCCAACATTCTTTCTTTTTTTTATTGCTTGATATATTATATATATACTCTGATTACAAGACCGATATTTATAATAAATAATAGGGTATATCAGTAGTAATGATATTATATATTAGTATAGGGGATATATTAGTATCAATTATACTATATGACACACTCCAACACTACTAGCTTAGCTCCAGCTGTGCAGTCTACCCTTCTGTCTCCTGATATTATATTATCACGATAGCACGCGAATTTTCTCGGGGCAAGATCTTACTTACCAGGTAACACATTTGTTGATGAAGGAGCAAGCAGAAATACATGTATAACATTGGTTCACGAGACACACTGGAGAGCCGAGATTAATTGAAAGTTTGCCTATTTTCGCGCCTATAGCCCTTCACTGGGTGTTGTTTATGTTGTAAACTTTCTGCAGTTAGGTTTGTGTGATTTATTGGGGCTTTGTGATGAGTTATTATGATGTGTTCCGATATAATGAGCCAATTGTTTCAATATTTTCACCAAAAATCCTATTTAGTATTGAACAGTCGAAGGGGTCCTTTTCACTGAATTAGCGAGATTATAATTAATTATTAAATCATCTATATTAATATATGTATAAATATTATAATATCAATGTAGAAGGACATGTAGCTGTAGATAGATCTATCATCTTATAATACAGTATACATCACGGACGACTGCAGTGCGTCCAGCGTCTTCAGTGCACCTAGCAAGTAACTGGAGTTTGACTTCAGTGCACCTAGCGAGTGACTGGAGTTTGTCTTCAGTGCACCTAGCGAGTGACTTGAGTTTGTCTTCAGTGCACCTAGCGAGTAACTGGAGTTTGTCTTCGGTATACCTAGCGAGTAACTGTAGTTTGTCTTCAGTGTACCTAGCGAGTAACTTCGTGCTATATTCGGCCACATTCATACCAAGAACATTCCTAGAACTTTCCGAGAATTCTCCGAAAACACTCCGAGGACCTGAATTTGTTCAATGTCATGGTGGATTAGATAAAAAGCTTGTAACACTGGTTCCAAATATTTCTTTATGCAACTAAAATAATTTTAGAAGGTGGCTGATTGAATAAGTTTTGTTCCAAGTGGATTGCGAATCTCTTGTCACCAAAAAATATGTTCTAAAAGTTATAACATACTTGATAATTAGCGTATTTAAGTTCATGAAGACATTGATAATTTCGTATCAGGCAAACCAAGCAATCATATTTGGCAATCCTCTATCTGTCAACGCATCTGATGTCATTCAGATTGAGAAGCAGGTTTGATTATACCCACATACTGTATGGGATAGTGTTGAAGATCGGATCCTTAGTGGCAGTGGCACAACTCCGATTCTATTTAATTGAAGTTTACTTTCATACACTTTTGGGTGATGGTGATCATGAAAACGATGTTTCCCTAGGCGGCCCACCTAACCACGAGATACATCGTTTTCGTGTCTTCATGATCACTCTCAATCTTAGACTTAAAGGTTCCACATTGGATTATTTTGGGGCAACTGCGCGGCTTAATATCATTATCATCATTACTGACTTGTCAATTTCAATTTTCATACTCAACGTCACACACTTAGTTTCCTTCGGCGATCTTGTGCTTCATCAGTATATTATAATTGCATAATTAGGCCCGTATTCACCGAATAACTTTAGAATTAGAATTGTTATTGCAAAATTTAAACTCTGAGACCCTGTCCTTAGCTAGACGGCACGTAACGCATCACGTAATGCGCTACGTGATAAAGAATTTGCCCTAGTATTATAGCTAGACGGAACATTTTGAATACGTGATGCGGTCGCCGTTCTCGCTAGACGGAATATTTTGAGTACGTAATGCGTAACGTTGTTCTGGCTAGACGGTATATTCGAGCTTTTCATTTAGAATTCAAACAAGACCCTCATATTATGTACTTGTAGCCAGGGTGTGGACTGGCTACGCATAGTCATACTGTTGTGTGTGACTCGGTCTTTGATCTTAGCTAGGCGTTATTAATAAACGAGTTTTGTGATCCCAAAATAACTTAAACTCTTCCTTTGGTGGATCATTGAATAATATCTAAATATATTCGTGATGGTGAACGGTTCTATACTGAAATACAACTTTTCTTCTGGCATACAGTTTTCCTCCCAAGTTGCTGAGCGCTTGAGGAACCGCTTCATATTTCAAGTCAGCATTTGGTGATTGCCGACAAACACTAAACACACAGTGTTATTATGGTGAAGAATGAACCGCCAATCGTTATTATTTAGAGCTATCTAATTCAATATGTTATCAAAGGATTTTCAGTCCAGGAAAATTGACAGAACATCGACGAAGAAAATATCTGATTGTTTCGACACACACACATTTAACAAACAAAGTCATCCCACACGTATAAGTAGCCTCATTGCTAATCAAATTCGGTAAAATTATCCATCTTTCCACAAAAGCTCTGTTAGTACGCTAAACTGTTAGAACTCGGCAATCAATCCTCGTAACAGCAGATACCAGGTAGATTGGCCCTTCAACAGCACTAATCAGTACCAAGTAGTCTATTAGTGTTATGCTAATAGTGTTTTTCTGAACGCATACTACAAGTTTGTTTTTGTAGTTCATATTTTATTTAAATTTACCTTATAGTCGCGAATAATTGTGTTGCCATTAAGGGATTAACGCTTAGTAATTTTAAAGGTGATCATTTGGTGATCGATCATCTTTGGAGTATCTCCAATCTTCGTTACACGATTTTATTTTTCTTCGCATTACAGCAATCGTCAAACATGGTCTTGTTATCCTTAAACATGGCTGTGCAGTAACCGAGTTACAATAGGATGCCGCGACAGGAATTGAGGAATAATGACAAATAGACTAAATACACATCATATTATACAGTACTAGAAAGCCCGTGGTCACAGGGAGGAAGCTATAACTCTATAAATAGTATTCTTTGGTAGTCAGTTCTTATAGTATCAACAAATATCCATCTGCACAACCGAAGATACAGCCGATTAAAATATAGCTCGCACTGAACATAACGTAATTACCACAAGACCGATCAAAATGCCTTGCACGTGCACGTACGCTTTTGAACACCGTTACTATGGTTACTATGCAACTTTT